ATGCAATTTTACAGATTTATTTTCTCATCTCAATAGTGATATTTTTGGTAAAAAAACAGAATCCTATCAAAATTTTAAGTTTTCCTGCAATGAAGAGGAAGTTGCAAAATCTTACAGCGCCGCAATGAATTTGGTTCTTTCCTACAGAACTCATCGTTAGTTCTAAAGTCCTTACCAAATTTTTTCCGCTGCGTAGAGCGATGAGAATGGGTTGAACAAAATTTTGATTTTTGTCTCTGTAATAATTCTATGAACTACATAAAAAATAAATTAGGTATCATTTATCTTTGAGCCAGTGTTCGGAATGATGTGCAAAAATATAACAACATTTTTAAAATCCACTCCTATTCTACACCCTTTTATTCAGTTCAAAAGTGAGAAGGATCATCTCATTTTCTATGAATAGTTAAAGTCTGTTCAGAAATGCAGCCAAAATTGCAAGTATCACTTCTCCTGCATTCTGCGATGTTCAGCATAATAACGGGGACTTCTAACAATTTTGTTGAGGTAGAAAAATTATGATCCTTCATTCTATTTAAATGTTTCATCTTTTACAAAAATACTTAAAAATACTATTCCTTAATTGTAATAACATCATTCAGCAAAAACATACATGGTATAAAAAATACAGTAATGAAACATAACAAAAAAAAACACTTACCAAAATAGACAATAGCAAAAAGTATTGAGTTTTTACTACCTGTTTGGTTTCTGGTTTAAAAAAATTGATTTTTCATACAAAAAGAAGAGAGGAGAAGAAAAATCGAATTAATTTGGAATATTTTAAGTGTTGTGAAATGGAGAAAAATGAGAGCGTCCAGATTCTAAGGCCTTTATGAGGCACTGAAGGTAAGCAAAGAAAAAAAATTGCTACCTGATTGATGAAAAATATCTGTAAACTGGGGTCGGCAGCAATTTTTACTCCACAGATAAGTGAGATACTGTTTGGACCGCGTTTAACAAAAAGGAATCAAGCCACATCAGCTATTGCCAAATTTGACTGGGCAATTTAATTTTTTACCAGAGAACGTTTGTGTGGATTCCTTTGATTTAAAGGAATTCACTTCGAACTATGTAGAAAATCCACTGAAATTTGCACTAAAATTCGCAAAGCCGTTTTTGTAAAAAATTTAAATCCCCAATTAAATTTGGCAATAGCTGATGTAGCTTGGTTCCTCTCTGTTTAACATGGCCCGTTTGTTACTCATTTGTCTCCAAACATTTAAAATTTCACTAAGTCTCCAGCTCAAATGCAACTAAGGTTGTCAAAAAGAGTAGGAGCAGCTGCCAAATGGCAGTTCACATTAGTGAGCAGGAGTCTTTCGATGAACTTTTATCAGAGTTCTTCGATTTACCTCCACCACTCGACGAGCTATTCAAACTATTTTGAGGTTTGATGACTTGTGGCAGCTTAGGCTTACTAGTGAGATCAGGTAAGCTATTATCAACCAGCTTCCAATTTGAAGCTTGCCTCTCCTCAGAAAGGCGGGATTCATATTTATTAACTGGTTCTGGTTCGAGAGTCATCCTTGAAGTATGCTGAGGGCTACTCTTTTCAATATTCAGAGAGCTGGTTGGAAAATTTTGAGATGAAGTGACTGGTTTCGGTTTAAGGATCCTTTCTGAAGTGCGGCTGAGGTCATTCATCATTCTTGTGGAAATACTTGACGCACGCTGGGATGTTGTGACCGCCTTTGGGAGCCTTTGTTCAGGGAATATCATACTTGATGACTTTGAAAAAGGGCTAGGAGCTACGTCTCTTTTTTTATAAGAGGATTTTGTTTGAGGGTGTTGGTTGAACACCTCTCCGACACAACTCTTTGACATTTGCTGAGGTCTCTCGATAATCTCAAATGAATTATCATCATCCGCAGTCATTTTTTTAGGATAAGCACCACTGTTGATTAAGTTGCCTGCACTGTTGGGGAGAACTTTTTTCTTAGGAAGGTTCATTATATTCAAGCCTATAGCTGAAGTCTTTTCTGTGACAATTTCTGCTTTCTTGAAAGATACGGGGTCTGCAGGAATTTTGGACTGTAAGTTAGTCGTACTCTGGGGAGTCTCTTTTCTCAGAGTTGGAGTCGAAGTCTTAATTTTTTCTGCAACAGGTTCTGCTTTGTGGAAAGAGAAAGAGTTTGCAGGAATTTTGAGCGGAAAGTTAATCTTACTGGTGAGGTTCTCTTTTCCCAAAGTTGGAATTTTTGTTGTATCAGAGATTTCATTAGCATTATTATTGGGAACTGTAAAGCCGCTCGTAGGTGGTGATTTGGAGGATGAAAGCTCGGTTACATTAACATGGGTTGAACTTCGTTTGCGATGTTCCTCGGTTAAAAAGTGATTCTTAACATCGTCTGCTGACAGATGTGCAGAGCAAGGTTTACAAAAAAAGTGAACTGTGGTCTCAACAGCGAGACATTGGATACCACTTCCTACCACATTGAAAATATCTTTAACGGTCTCTTTACCAGTGGCACTCAGAGCTTCAAATCCTAGGTTCTGTAAGCCTGCCATCTTGGAAAGTTTGAGATGGTATCCTGTTTTAATATGCGATTCCATAGATTCAGGCCGCAGAATGAAGAGGCAAAATTTGCACTTAAACCGAAGCTCCTTAGAGGTGGGTTCAAGCATCAAGTCGAAGTCTTTCATTTCAAAACCAATTTCATCAATAAGATTTTTAAAAATTTGTTTATCGAGTTTGCTTATAATTTCGGAGCCTGGTACTAGGGGTTCTGCTTTTGCTGTAGATTGACGTTCATTCAGGCTTGATAGGGTCTTCTCATTAGATTTTCCATGACACCTGACAAAAAGTTTGTTGTCTCCAGCTCTTTTGGAATTGAGGTTTGCATTACAGTCTCTACAAACAAAAGGTCCTGCTACATCATCTTTATTGCTGGAGGTGGGGTTTAAATCTTTGAGCTTCTTGACTGGTTCTTCCTTTATATAAGAGTTTTTATTGGCAATATTTGACTTATTTTGGTCTGTATTCAATGGAATGACAGTGGTTTTGATTTCACTTGAAGCACTTTGCAAGCAACTTTCCTGTTCAACTTTTTGCTCTTGTGGGTTCTTGCAGGTGACAAATTTTGAATCATTAGAAGTCAAAGCTTCTATGCGGTTTGAATCAACACCTTTAATTTCTCTTGAATGAGATTGCAAATGTTCTGCAAGCCATTTTGGATTCACTGTATTTAAAAAGACGGACAGACCACAGATTTTACACTTAATTTTGTGTCTTCCTCTGTCGCTGAGGGGTAACAATAAGAAAGAGCTCACTTGGCTATCGATCAACATGAATAGATTCCTCAGTTTATTCTTTGACGACTCGTCAACATGAATGAATTGATCAAGGAAACCATTCAGTTTTTCATTGTTTGCATGGTCTGAACTAAGTACATGTGCTAATACGACTGGGCATTCTAGAGTTAAATCACACAGCAAGCACCGAAGACTAAGTTTACTTGATTCAGTTGTTAGCAAAAATTCAAAAAATTTAAAGTCTTCTTTACTTATACTTAGTTGAACTAATTTCTGCTGTATTTCACTTAAATCATCAAAACTGACAATGGAAAACTCTTTGTTAATAGAAGGAAACTTAGAGACTAAATTAGAGGGCTCACTCATAGCGTTTGAAGTTTCACCGACGGAAGTTGGTGGCCTAGGAATTTTATCCATAACACCATGACTATTTCCCAATATTGCTTTAACATGTTCTAAGTGCTTTTTATACTTGACATGGTCTTTCACTACGTCTGGATGCACCAGTTCATGACATACTTTGCAGAGGAATTGAAGTTCCTCGGTGCCAATTTTATAAACAAAATTGAAGTCACTAATTCTATTCCCGATGACATTTGCGATACAAGTGATTGTTTGTTGGTTTGTCTTACTGAGAGACTGGTACGCTGTTCTGGGCGGATTTGACAGAAGAAATTGTTGATGAGAATTGCAAAAGATATGATCCTCGACAAGTTCTGAGCCTAAAATTAAGTTGCAAGCTTTGCAAAAAAAGAAGAGTTCATTCGATCCAGCACCAAGAAGAAGCTGAAAAATGTACAATTTGCTCTCGTGTGAATTGCTGAGGTGTTTTACTATGGTTGTATTTTTGGCATTCAAATCTTCTAAATTTACAAACTGAAAATTTTTCATAACATTTTCCAAACCAGTGCAATTATGGAGATGAGACCTGACGTACCTCGCGGCTAAAGATAGTTTGCAAATTTTACAAATGAAGTTAAGTCTGTCTAAATTGTCATACTCTCGTGTGAAAGAGTTGAGGATCTTTCCAGCTTGCTTCCCAAAGTTTGAGATGATTTTTTTATCACGTTCATTTAAATGGTGAATAGATGAAGCAACTTTATCACTCACTCTCGTCTTAGCGAAGGTTACGGGTGTTTCTTTTCGTTCTTCACCGTCAGTGGATCTACTACCAGTGCTGGGAGTGATCTGGTGCGAGAAAAGTTTAAAATTAAGATGGTGATCCTTCTGCTCAGAGATATCATATTTTAAAGGAAGATGACTTAAATGCTGCGATGACTTAACGTGTTCTTCCATTTTTTCTGGATTGAGTGTGATTTGGCAGAGCTTGCAATAAAAAATTAGTTCTTCAGTGCCAATTTTGTGCAGTAAACTGAAATCTGCCATTCTCTCTTTGATTTTAGAACTGATTTCATTAACAAACAAAAAGTTTGGCTGATTCAGAGATTCTAATCTTAAGCTGAATGATTTGGTTTTCAAGTTTCTTTCATGCTCTTTGGAGGAGACATGACCTTGAACGTCCTCAGTGATTAAAACTACGAGGCATAACTGGCAAAAAAACCTAAGTCTATTTGTTCCAAATTTGTAATGGAGCTGCAAAAAAATCAGTCGATTGTTCAGCTGGCAAATGAGCTTATTCAAAATTTCCTTGTTCATATTGTTTAGATCCTGAAAAAAAACTAAACATAAGTCACTCAACAGGTTCTCTACCTTGCTACAACTGTTCAAGTGAGATAGCACATATTTTGGGTACAAACATAATTTGCATACATTACAGATGAAATTAAGTTTTTTGGCATTTTTGTACGACAACTCAAAGGAATTCAGGATCCTCTCTGCATCCTGTCCAAAGCCTAGAATTATTTTCTTGTCTCTTTCACTCATGTGAGCAACTTTTTTATTCACATTGATTTCGGCGAGAGAAGCGGTGGTTTTCTCAGGCTGTGCAAAATCGTTGGAAAATACGGGCATGGTATTATGACTAACCTGTTGAGGAACGAAGTTTGAATCAGGTGAGTCTTGTACTGCAGGGAAGTTGCATTTCTTAACCGGCACAAGACTTAAGTGCTGTGATAACTTGGCGTGGGATTCTACCGCATCAGGACTCAGCGTTCTCTGACAAAGTTTACAGTAAAAATACAACTCCTTTGTGCCAATTTTGTACGACAAGCTGAAATCTGATATTCCTTCTTTAATGGCATCGGTGATTTTCTCGACAATCAGTCTGTTCGGCTCGTTTAATGATTCAATCTTCAAGCTGAACGGTTGCTTTTTTAATTTTTTTTCATGCATTCCACTATGAGCATGGTGATCAACTTCCTCACTGTTTAAAACTAAGTGACATACGTAGCAAAAAAAACGAAGTCTATTCGATCCAAATCTATAGTGAAGCTGAAAAAAAATTACCTGATCATCTAATCGATTGACAAGTCTGTTCAAAATGCCTTTGTTCACGGCATTTAGATCCTCTAAATAAACCAGACATAAATTTTTCATTAGATTTCTTACACCACTGCAACTATTCAGATGAGAACGTACATATTTGGGGTATAAACATAGCTGACAGACGTCACAAATGAAATTAAGCTGGTTGCCATTACAATACGTTAACTCAAAAGATTCAAGGATCTTGTCTGCATCCTTCCCGAAGTCCATGATAATTTTTTTCTCACGTTCATGTACGTTTTTGCCAGTTGAAGCAAGTGTTTCCTTCACCTCATTAGGAGGACAATACGAATCTCTACGAATTTTTTTATCATCAACTTTGTCTTCATGGGCCTGCTGTTTTCTTTGAGAAAAATTTTGTTCTGAACGTGTCAAGTGAGCTGCAGTATGAATATGAGACTCAACATTTTCTGGTAATAATTTCAGCCAACATAATTTACAGCTAAAATAAAGTTTGTTGTATTCGTATGTTGGCTTGAAATTAATAATCTCATACTCTATCCTGCGCAGAAGGTCATTCCCTATTCTCTTGTCCTCCGTCTTTAAACATTTTATTAATGCTTGAGCTGCTTTTTCATGAGCAGCTTCTGCAGTCTTCGAGGAATTTTCAAAATTAATTATAGGCTGATCTTTTGATTCTGCATTTAGGGTAGCATCTGGCTTTATTTCGATTGGATGCTTTGAAAAGTTTAGGTTGGAGTGATGAGCTTTTTCAGCCAATTTATGAAGGTGTTTTTGATCCTGAACGTGACTTTCAAACCTTATAACGGGGACTGTTATGTCACAAAGGTTGCATATTAATTGTAGCTTGATTTCTGATTGGTCATCAATTTTTGGTGTGAAAAAATTTAACTGATAAGATTCAACCTTTCTGGTTAAGTCTTGTAAAATATTTTGGTACGTGGTGGGCAAAGAATTGAGCTTGATGCTCCAAGTGTCCTGAAGTAAATTGACGGGTAAAAGATTAAGGTTTTGACCTTTTCTCTGACTAATTCCAGAGTTTGATTGAGATAAATTTGCCGAATGTTTCACGTGACTTGAATTAAAGGTGGCAAGATGGTTGTCCAGAGAATTTTGATTAAGCATAGAGTTGGATGGGTTTCTGAAATGATCTTGCTCCTTGAATGTATTATTGACTGAGGTAAAGCCAGCTGTACTTGGTGAGCAAGCATTGGGTTCAAACTCATCTGAAGAGTAAGTCCCTGAAAACAGATTGAAACAAAAATAAATGCGTCTGATCATCCTTTAATAAATGTGAGTCAGTGTTTGAAATTTTCATGAATGCAGTTGTATCAATTAAGATTTTTCTTTTCTCAGTTCATACTGGCACTAATGTCAGGTGTGTAGGGAACGCAAATCTTGTAAAATCACTAAAAGTAGACGCTGAGCTAGCTGCAGTCTTGCTTAACAAGAAGCCGGCATATTATCAAAGTTTCAAGTTGATTATTTGTTGATGAGAGATAAATGATACATTATCACAACATTCTACTTATCGAGACCATTCAGAGAAGTCAATTCTGTTGTTGAGTAGGAGATAAAGAAGTTTGCATTTTGTTTTCCGCTTTTAAAACTGCGATTTTTTCACTAAATTTTGTCAAATTATGTAAGAAGACGCCTATTAATATTATGATCAAATACATAAAAGAGAAGTAAACAAACTTTGTCAAAAGAGACATTTTATATAAAACGACGAATTGCAATCTTGTAGACAGGCAACATTTCCGTATCATTTGTTTGACATTGACTTTTAATTTTTGTCAGCTATGCACTGCATCACGAACATTATAAACTGTTAAAATTTTGTTCATGTTGATGCTTTCCCTTTGGATTACTGTTATTATTTTTGGTGAGATTAGGGCAAAAGGATTCTCTTGAGTTGTATGTATTTTTTTGACAAAAGGAAGCCGCGTCTCACATAATAAAATTTGGTATAATCAATAAACTGTTCACATAAGGGAGCAAGAACTTCCTGAGGGCTCATCCGAAGAATTGAGAGGTGTACTGTCTGACTTGTTGTGCAAAAAACTGTAGGATTCCTTCTTTGATCCAGCAAAAATGTTAGAATGTGTGCATGAATTCATTTTGAGGTGTTGAAAGAAAGAGGCGGGCTCGAACAAACAGCGGCACGGCAAGCAAAAAATGAAATGCTCATCAACTAAAAAGAAAAGTTCAAATTTGCTTGCTTCAAATTTTAAATTACCGAAAAGCATGAAGAAAAAATAGGATTTGTACTGTGCGTAGCTCTGGATTCTGAAATTCAAATTTGACGATAGATGTGCATGACTTGAAGAATTAACATGTTGGAAAACAGATGAGGAGGTTACCACACAATCGCATGTTCCACAAATGAATATTTTTTGGCATAATATTTCATCGTAATGTTCCAAACCTCTTGAATTACTTTTCTCAGTTGCACTTATCTCTCTAGTTTTCACAAAAATACCATCTCCTGCATATTCCTCAAACTTTTTATTCATATGAAATGCATTACAATGCTCTTGCAGGGTGTCAATATGAATTAAAGTTTTGCATGCTCTACAGAAGAGCCATAGTTCCTGGGCATATGATTGATCTACATTACATTCGTAGAAAATCTCGAATAGGCCAGAAACTTGGTAAAGGGAAAATGGTACATTGCCAGTCAATAAGTTAATCAAATGCTCTTTGAAATCTCTCTTGTTTTGGATGCTAGGCAAATAGTGTTGAATTTTGATACTTTCATCTGGAAGATGACAACCAGGCGAGTTGGTGGCAGCGTGATGCTCAACAGTCTTCCCACAATTCAGGCAGAAGCAAAAATATATTGGATTGGATCGTCTACATCTAATTGTAAATATTCTTTCACCATTAGAAGAGTAATAGTTCTCTACAATTTTGCCACATTCAAAACGGGCATACCATGGATCTGTTGCATTCATCATCTGAACTATAGTCTTCAGTTCTTCAAAAGCTTCTGGAGTCATCTCTGGAGGAGAGACTTCCTGCTCACTATTGTTCAATAAATTCTGCCTTGCGTGTTGCTTTTGCAGGTCATTATCAGAGGGTTTAAAGGCATCAGAAATTTTACAAGGCTTTTCGGTATACATTTTTTTCTGACCTACAGGTTGAAGCAAACGTGTTGATGCTGGTTTCATGTTTTTCAAATGAGATTTGGTTGAAATATTTGAATTGGCAGTGGACCTATCATTTCCAATATTATTGACCACCGTAACTGCAGTTCTTTGTTCAACATTTTCTAAAGTTTGTTCCATTCCTTCCGAGGTTTCTTCCGTTATCAATTTCTTGTCACTTTCTGTAAGATTCGCAGGAAGCATATTTTGAGGTACTTTTCTTCTCCTCTTCCTTTTCTTCTTGCCGGAGCTTGCAGGCTCTTGATATTGACAGGCAAAAACTGATGCCTCATTTTTAACAGATTCTGTCTCATCTGCAATTGTAGTATTACAATTCATAGATTCAGACGTTTGATCAATTTTGTGGGAAATTGATTCTTTTTTAACTGTGGATGGATGATCAGATGATTCAGAATGTAAAAATGGAATTTCAGAGACACTCATTGGCGTAGGTGTACTTTTTTCACCTGTATCAGTTTGCTTTGCAGATGCTGTACAAGTAGAACTAAGATTCTGAACATGGTCTGAACTTTCTCCTTTAACTGTGGTTGGATGATCAGACGATTCAGAATGTAAAAGTGGAATTTCAGATACACTCCCGGAAGCAGATGTACTTTTTTCACCACCATCAGTTTGTTTTGCAGGTGCTGTACAAGTAGAACTATGATTCTGAACATCGTCCGTACTAAGACTTGCTTGACAGATATTGCAAACAAAACGTATTGTAGCCTCTACACGATAGTTTCTCAGTTCACTACCGATACTGTTATACAGCCTCTTGACGATTTTTTTATTTTTATCACTCAAATGATAGAATCTTCTATTTGAGAAAACTGCTAATGAAGAGAATTTTTGGTGGTTTTCACTGTTGATATGGGCTTCCACAACTCCTGGTGATACAGCTGAGAGGCAGAATTTGCATTTTAATTGAAATTTATTACAAGTTTTACTATTGAAGAACTCAAAATCTTGAATTTGTAAGCCTATTTTATCAACAAGGGCTTTATATACTTCTTTTTCAGAGTCAATTATCACTCCAGGGTCGAGTGTAAGGCCTGTGTTTGAGTTTGATAGGTTGGTGCAGCTAGAGATAGCTTGTTCTGTGTGGATGGATAAATCCATTCCAGCAGATTTGCTAGTAGTTGGAGGTGCTTGAACTTGCCCAAAAGGTGTTTGGTTCAATATTTGGTGTGTTGACACACGTGTTTCTAAGGAGGTACTTTCTGAGGGTTCTGTATCCTTGGTAGATTGACGTTCATTCAGGCTTGAGTGGGTCTTCTCAGTAGATTTTCCGTGGCACCTGACAAAAAGTTTGTTGTCTCCAGCTCTTTTAGAATTGAGGTTTGCATTACAGTCTCTGCAAACAAAAGGTCCTGATGTGTCATCATGCCTGAAAGTGAAGTTGAAATCATGGAGCTTCTTGACTGTTTCTTCCTTGGCACAAGAGTTTTTATGGTCAGCATTTGACTTATTTTGGTCTGTATTCGACGGAATAACAGTGGATCTGATTTCACTTGAAGCATTCTGCAAGCAATATTCCTCTTCAACTTTTTGCTCTGGTGGGTTCTTGCATGCAACAAATTTTGCATTATTTACTTGCCCAAAAGGTGTTTGGTTCAATACTTGGTGTGTTGACACAGGTGTTTCTAAGGAGGTACTTTCTACGAGAACACTATCGTCTACTATGTTTCTGACGAAATCCAATTCATCAGAATTAATCTTCTGAGTTGCACCCAAATGATAGCTATTTCCATCAAGGTTAGACTCTACTTGCTCAGTACTTGCAAGCAACTTTGATGCTCCCAAGCTATCAGTTGGGATGCTATTTTGAACGTTGCTGATGTCTTGAGTTGTCTTTGATCGATGCTTCTTGGTATCCAAATGTTTTGCAAGCCATACAGAATCCACAACACTGAGTGACATGATCAAACCACAAATTTTACATTTAATTTGGGGGTTATCTCCATTGATATGATGGACACAAAATAATTCTGACCTAGTTCCAACTAAATTGAATAAATCCCTTAAAATACACCGAAAATGTTTCTCAAGAAGCAAGAAGTTGTCAAAAACAGCATCTAGTTTCGACATCATAAGGTGTGATGACGTCATGAGGTGCTCCTGAGCAAGAGGGACAGTTAAAGTATCTTCACATAGTTTGCAGTTGAGAAGAAAAACGTTAGAGCTACAAGTTTGTAAAAATTCAAAATATTTTAAGTCCCTATCAAGGATGTATTTCTTGACTATCTTTTTTTGTTTCTTGGCTAATACATCAAAATGTGCTATTACAAAATTTTGATGATATGAAGGTGACGGAACTTGTTCGGAACTTAGTGGAGCTTTCAGAGGCGGTGGAGCAGTCTGAGCACTCTGAGAGGAACTGAGTTTTGAAACTAGTTTGCATGCAATTTTACTCTTGAGTAAATTTAAATGATGTTCATCTTTTACGTGTTTTTCTATGGTTTTTAGACGCAGCATAACCTGACATATTTTGCAGTAGAATCGCAATTCTTCTGTGCCGATTTTATAAGCAAAATTAAAGTCCTCCATTCTATTTTTGATAGTGGCTCGGAGCGTTTTTACTTTCATCTGATTATCCTGACTTAGAGAATCATATGCTATCTTGGGAGGATGTAAGAGAAGATTTTGAGAGTGTTTGTCAGAGTAGATATGATCCTTGATATTTCCAGAGTTTAAAGCACAATTGCAAACCTTGCAAAAAAAGTACACTTTATTGGAGCTAAGCTTACAGAGAAGCTGAAAAACATGAAGTTTATGCACATGGGAACTGTCAAGGGTTTTCACGATCTTTTGGTTCTTATTGCTTAAATCTTCTAAAGTCACAAATTGATAATTCTTCAACAAATTTTCCACACCAGTGCAATTATAAAAATGTGATTTTACATACCTTGGGAACAGTGACAGCTTACAAACATTACAAATGAAATACACTTGATCTGCTTCTTCAGGGGTAAATTTAAAAGATTTTAGAATTTTTTCAGTTTTTTCTCCTAACTCAAGAATTATTTTTCTGTCGAGCTCATTCAAACGCAGAACAAGCGAATCAATTTTCCGATCTGATTTTGTTTTTAAAGGAGATGGAGGCACTACATTTAATTTTGCTTCATTGGCAGTGTTGCTAGATGGAACTTGGCATTCAATTCGAGACAAATTCTGCTCTAAATTACTTTGATGTACCTTAGTATGAGCGTGTGCTTCAACAATTATTGGTGATAATTTTAACTGACACGCTTCACACTTAAAATACAGCTTATCACACTCATAAAGAGGGTAAAAATTATTCAATTTATTTCTCAATTTGCATACAAGATCCAAACCTATTTTTTTATCTTTAGCTCTTAGAAATTTAATTACCTCTTCATTGGTCGTGACTTTTTTTTTTAATGATTCAGAGGGTACTTGGAATTTAGTTTCAGACAGGCTTTGATCACAAGAACTCCTGTGTGCCTTGGTATAGGAATGGGCTTCAACATTTTTAGGTAGCAACTTCAGTTGACACACTTCACACTTAAAGTATAGCTTATCGGACTCATAAAAGGGGTGAAAATTATCCAATTTATTTTTCAATTTGCATAGAAGATCCTGACCTACTTTTTTATCTTTATCTTTAAGAGATTTAATTATATCTTGGTTCCTGTTCAAGTTTCTTAGCGCTGCTTCAGAAGGGATTAATGAGTGTTCACTTAAATTTTTCTTATGTTGCTCTGTTTTAACATGCATCGGTATGCTTTTAGGGGCAAAAGTTGTCTTGCAAACTTTGCACTTGAGATGTAGCTGTCTAGATTTACCACAAATGAGCTGGAAATCATTCAGAGCCATATTTAATTCTTTCTCAAGATTTCGCAATAATTTTTTATCAGTGTCGTTAAAAGTGTTGGAAGGCATTGTGGTTGTGGATAAATTCTTTGCTGAGTTTTTAGATCCAACCGAGAGTGAGGCAGAGGCTGGATTTCTAAAACTTCCAGCTTTTGTAGATTTAACATTTGAGCGATGCAAACTACTCCGAAAGTGTTCAACGGAGGAATCAAAACTTGAAAATCGCTCATTACACAAAGTACACATGTAACATTGTGAAGCTTCGATATAGTCAAGGAACTCAAAATCTCTGTTATCCATCAAAGATGTAACATCAGTTTTACTGAGAGAGCATCTTTTGGTTAAGTTGTGCAAGTGCTCTTGCTGCCGGACGTGGTTTTCGATGTTTTTGATTAGGAGTGTGACTCGGCAGAGCTGACAAATTAATTTAAGCTTTTTCCCTGAATTCTTATCAATTGTGAAAAAGTTTATATGGTAAGCTATCTTTTCGGTTAAATCCTGTAAAATATCTTTGTGCTCGTCAGGTAAAGCATCAGGTTGGAGGCTACACGCTGCTTGAAATAAATTATGGGGCACAAGACTAGGATGAGGGTACGGTCTCGATTGACCATGATCAAGAGAATCGATGGGTGTAACAGAGGTACGGGTGGTCATACCTGCTGTGTCCTTATCATGAACTGGAGTATATTTTTCAGGATCGTCTTCCGTGGAATTAGAATACGAGGAGGCACTGGAGAAGGCATGATAAAATTTCTTATTGGTGGAAGGGTCTTTGTTGAGGTCATAATCATTTGCACAGTTTCTACCTGAAAAAATATGAGAATAGGATTGAAATTCAGTTGCAAAATTCATGTGATTAAATATTCTGTTATGTTTAGTTGTTCATTATAGGAGTAGGATTTACAGTAGACTCTGGATTATCCGGATTAATTGGTGCCAGGCCCGATCTGGATAAAAAAAATCCAAATAATAATAGGAAACACAAACACCACCAGCCAACACCACAGTATTCTTATTGCAATTCAGTTTTATAATTTCTACCAGACCGGCAAAGGGAATGACAGGAGCTTGTGGAAGAGGTGAATTATTGAATTTTACTTCCAGTTCAGGAGCTGTGCTGGAAAGCTCTTTCTTGAAGAGGTGTTTGATTGTGATGATTCAGAGAATTTAAGAATTTCACACCAATATAGTCAGGTTTTAGGCGAAATCATACTACCATTGATTCCAATTCATTTGCAGTTATAATCGTACTTCGCAGGCTTGGTCTGTTTTAATAGTAAAATTTCGACTCACAGGATACTCTTTTTCTGAAAACCAGACATTTTATTGTAGAAACTAAAATTTGCAATCAGTGTTCGAAACTAACTTTGGAGTTTCGGGAGTCATGTGGCCCATGAAGCTCGATTTTAAGGGGCCATTGAAGATTTTTTAGGGGGCCAAATGGACTTTTTCCCCATATATCACAGCGCATTTAGTAAAAAGTTCAAATTTGGTGTCAAGCGTTGAAATCTCAAAAATTGCCGAACAGAAAAATTAGCATTTTTTGAAGGGGGGGGGGGCAATTTTTAGGGACCAAATTGGCACAGAGCCTTCATTATTTAAATGCCATAGCCGATTTCTTCCGCACATTAGGCGTGTTGGCACCTGCGGAGTTTCGAGCACTGTACGCAATATTTAAAATCACAATAGAAAAGGATAAAAGAAGAGTAAAAAAATAAAACTTGAAAAACTTTAATAGGTAAATAGAAATTGAAACAAAAGATGATAATCTAGGAATACAGTAGAATCTAGAGATGCAGGAAATGTCCAATCACGGACCTCCCCGGGTGCATGCCAGGGAAAGGTGGATGGCAGGAAAACTTTTAAGGGTCAAAAGTTGAAAGCAGAGTGTCTACCAAAACAGGCTGACCAAAAATCAGTACTTCTTCAGTACATTTCCGAGAAGTTTGGTACCTTTTCAACGGAAAAATTCAGTACTTTTTCAGTGCCCTAATTTGACGAAATTCGAAAAATTTAAAAAATTTGAACCTCTCGCTCAAATTGCGACAAAAATGATAAAAAAATTCCGAACCTTCCTGCGGAATTTCCGTACTTTTTCAGTGCTTCCGGACAGCCCTTAAAAAGTCAGTACTATTTCCGGACTTGTAGACACCCTGTGAAAGTCAAGGGAAATAAGAAGAGAAGGTTATCAAAATTGGAATTGATGGGAAATTTTCATAAAAGTTGTTAAAAATGAGGAGAGCCAGGAAGTGGGCACGTGAAAATGTGGAAGCTTATAAGGTTCTGCACCCCTGGTGGAATCTAAGCAAATCAAGGGGTGCCAGCCCATCCACAGGTTATTTTTGAGTGAATCCAGCTCAGTAACGGAGACATTGGTCAAATTTTGGATGTTTTCCTGTTTAAACGCATGGTTTATAATTTTTCCAATGAGGAAGGCACCGTCACAAAGCTAATAAGACAGTTCTCAGGCTCTGGCCCTGATTTGCTGCCCAAAGAGAAAAAAATAATTAGAAACCTATTATGTCAGTCTGGTCTAAAATGACATTTCATACTTGGTATGCAAACAATTAAGTTTGGGACTGACTGTTTCTGGAAATAGAATGATGGAGCGCAGTAGTATATCTTGATTTTGTTCTGGGCAATGAGGGATTATAACTGAGAGACTGGCGGAGGTGGAGTACATACCTGCTGCGTTACTGCTGCAAGCTAAAGAGTCTTCATCAGAATCATCTTCCGAGGTGCTCTGATCTGATGAAGAGCTTGGAAACTCTTGGTAGTATTTATTATTGTGTAGGGTGTTTGAGGATGAATGCTGCGGTGCAAACTTGTCTGATGAATATCCTCCTAAAATAAGCAAAAAGGATGTGAAAGTGTGATAAATTTGAGAGATGAGGGTGAAATTGATAAATTGGACGTATTTATGCTAAATGGAACTATGTGCAAGTGGAAAGATGGGGTGTGCTTGTTAGTGGTCAAGCCATAAGAATGAATGGAAATTTAAAAGCGCCAGTGACGTCAGTGGTGAGGACCGGGCTTGACGACGCGCGATGGGAGCTACGACGACTCGGTCATCAGTCTTTAACTCATGAGCCCTGTCCACAACGCTCTTGTCACATGTCCACAGCTAACGAGTTAGCGCTCAGTTTCTTTTGATTTAATGTCAAATCCCGCTTTTCCATTTTCTCAAAAGGAACTATATCCACTTTTACATTGTTTCTTATCCAGCTCACCACCAGCACACCCCATCTTCCCACTTGCACACAGTTCCTTTTGGCATAAATACGTCCAATTGATGCTTAATTTCTAGATCATTGTGGTTTGAAGTACCAGAATGTTGGAATTTATCTTTCAGGACATTGCATAAAAAGTATTGCAAATTGCCGAACTTTGAATTTCAATAATGAACTAAATATGATGTTCATCGAGATCTTCTGAGAACAATTAACACACACACTTTCTAAGACATTTCATGTCCGGTTCATGGGCCTGACATCATCTGACGCTGGCAAACTTATAGATTGGGATGATAGCTACATATTTTGAAAATGACTTTCATTTTCAGGTCCTTTCTCCAACAATCTTCAGACACTCAAAAGCACTAGTGACTTCCAAATACCTTAAGGAACGATCTTACAGAGTACCTTTGAAGCGAAATATGCGCTTTGTGCTTTATAAATTTGGAAAACGTAGAAAACAAGACTGTTGCAATTATGAGATGCACGAAACCTTTCCAAAAAGTAGAAAATTCTCAGCAGGATGTATTCTATGCAAATCAGATAAAATGACCCTCTAGGGAACAGTCTTGTTTGGTCATTTTAGCCAATTGTCAATTAAATTGATGAGTAAATACTTCCGTTGAATCAATGAGATTACAGCAGCAGGACCAATCAGATCACATCTTTATGACTAATATGTCATTATAAGCGATGTTGTAATATCTGACTTCTACTGTATCTTGGAAATTGTTGTTAGATGAAAAGATATTTTGGCATTACCTATTACAAAAACGTACCTGCTGTGTAGTTATGGCAACCTGAGGTGAACTCATCCGAGTCATCTTTGACCAACTTCTTGTGAGACGATGAAGGGGAAATTAAAGGTGGTAGCTCATCATAGAGCTCTGAGTTTTCCTGCTTATTAGAGGTGCACCCACTCATGATGACAGGGTAGAATAGAAAACTTAGACAAAGTTTCCCCTAAAATAGCAAAGATTAAATATTATTGTTTTAGTTAGCCAGGGAAAATTACTGTGGTTTGCTGAGTACTGTTTGGATTTAGTGTTTTATTCTCTGATGTGAGCCTCACCTTTTCATATGACTCGATGATTCTTGAGCTTTAAGAGACGTTCTCTACAAGAAAATTTAATTGAGAGCCAAGAAAGTAGAACTGTTTTCAGGGCTCTAAGATAACTTAGTTTCTCTTTCAAGTTTACTGATTAGAGTTCATTCCGACTAATACACTTTATTTTTTTTTGGTTTGAAAGAAAGTTTATTCATATTCACAATGTTCTGTCTTGTTGTTAGTTTTATTATCCTTGCTAAAGTTAGTTAATTTCTGTGGAGTAAACTTATTCTTACAAACTAAGGCTGACATTCATCTGATATATGCCTTACAAGTAACTTCTTAGGTTCCCCGGAACACTAAAATAAAACTAATCATATCTTACTCATCTCTAAAATTATGATATCAAAATTATTTATACTTAGCTACTTTCCAGCTTATCCTTTACTTTTTCAGTTAAAATGAAAATAGAAAAAACTCCTAATGTAGGAGGAGGAAAAAAGATCTATTCTCATTTTGTTCATACTTAATTACAAGAGGATTTTAAACCTCATTAACATTTTGAAACAAAAGTCAGAGTTATCAGTATGAATAATAGGGCTTGAAATGAAGAGGATGAACTTTCAATGGCCAACTTATCAAACGAGACCTTGCAATGATGCGGTCTAAGTTAATCTGAAATCTGATAACTCTGAATTCAAACTCAAGACTGATACACTGGCACACCTGCAATTGTAAATTAACTGTAAAACTGCAGGAACGCTTGTCTCCATTTGCAATGTTGCAGACTTCTCGTTATCCTTTATTTTTTTAATGGAAAAATATTCAAAGTAATTTCTGCATAACTTCCTTGATTTATGTTCTTGGTGTGAACATTGAAAAGTCAAGGAATATTATGTTTGAGACCCTTAACAAGGGGATGCAAGACACGTGCAATTTCCATCTCAATTTTATGGAAAATATGCAATATTCATGCTGACACTGACTCCCAATTTAAAATCCCAAATCTAAAGCCAGTTTCTCTCATCCTCTTATTATTGCACAAGACCCGTCAGTGTTACTTTGCGACCAGCAGATTGCGATCAGATGCATGCATAAATAGGAGAGCCGCAGGAAAGGGTCCTGAAATGGGAAGGACTGCTTACATCAGTATGAAAAATCGTGATTTTACCTCCAAAACTGCGACAGTTTTTAAATGAAGAGCAAAAGAGGAAAAAATGAAAATCTCACCAGAAAATTTCGGAGAAAAACGAAGTTTTTGAAATGGGAAAGCCAATTGGAAAAATGGGAGAGTTATAAAAACTTGTTGTATTTCTGAAATGAGTGAGAACAATAAAAAAAATTGGAAGGCAAAGAACTTTCTGTGTTTATGCTTTCATAAGTGCCTTGACCCTCGCAAAGTGAATGCTCATGTAAAGAGTGTCCGGAGAAATATGGATACATACCTTGCTAATTTAGTAGAGATTTCATAAAACATATGATCTTGAGCCATTTTTATGCGATATTTCACAGAATGTATGTTAGTAGGAAATTTTGAGGTTCCCAACAGGATGGACACAACACAGATCTGTAGAATTCAAAGGTTTGAAGAATTCTGAAAAAAAGGAGAGATAATTAGACGTGATAAAACGGCACTTTCAGGAGGAGTTCATTGATAAATTAGTTACTTATTCTCTCCGCACTAACTCATGATGCTACTTAACCAACATTCCTTGAGAACTAATAAAATATCTGAAAGGGGGATTGATGTTTCTCTTGGAATTAATATTAGTTTTTTTAAGCTTGTTACTTAGTCTGCTTCTGAATTTACTTACAAGTTTTTTCATAGCTGTTACTACTTGTACCTTTACCTAAAGCAGCAGCATACTCGATAAGGATACCTAACTTAAACTCGGAATGAAGTTTCAAAATGAGAGAGCTTATTTCATTATGCAATGCAAATTTTCATTCTCTGGTTAAATGGACGTAGTCTAGCCTTCCCTGCTAAATCGCCCGTAATTATAAGTAATTTTATTTTTGTCACCAGTTTGTAGTTTTGTAAACTTGCTCCGGACAGCATTATCAAATCTGCTGACAATTCTGGTCGAGATAGCAAAACCTATCAACAGTCCACCAGGCTCTGATTGGTTGATAGTACAAACTTCATTAACGTGCAGGGCAACTGTTCACGAATTTTGTCAACAGCTAACGAAAGAAAATTTGTTAGAACAACAATTAAAATTAAGAGACAAAAGGGACTCATCGGTCAGTAAACAAAGGAAGATGGCTGATAACACTTGGTGAGCAAAATTTGGTTCTCAGCAATGTGTGAGTTGCACGATTCACTTGTCTGTCTTCATGGTATAAGCATATAATACTTAACAGTAGCACACAAGAGTGGTGCAGCAGAAAATATTTTAAATTTTCATCAACCGGATCCAGATGATAACACAATCATTATTCAAATACCTACTCATACAAAAAATCTTGTAAATACTTACCTAAGATAAGAGAGGAGATGCTCTAGAGTTAAGAACATGAGAAGGTAAATGTTTGAGGCTTCAGAACAATTGTATTGCATGAAATTTGTACTTACCTTCACCCCGACGTGAAGTTCATCGGGAAAACCTCTCGCCGGATTGGAAAACATCAGATTCTCTGAGATATCTGTTTGTTCACTATCTCAGCACGATCTCAGCATTTTCGCCTTTCGCCATTCATTCTCGTGTGAGTTGAAGAGATTGTGTTTACACGAAAGTGAGGTTAGGTTATGATGATGACACGGACGGAGCACGAAGGTTATTACTGTTGCCAGTTGGACAATGTTTACTTCATATTATTTAACTTACCGAAAATTGTAATATTCGGTAGGTATATGATAATACACAGTTTATCCTGTAAATAATTTTACAAAAATTTTTCCCTCGTTGGAATCACTTCGCGGTCATGAAGATGGAGTAAGTATCAAAATTTGAAAAAAAAACTTGAACAAAGCGGCTACGATGGCGTCTTGTCTGAACTCTACACCGTTTCTCTTTCTCGCCCGACCGAATTTTATTTTTACTATTCGTATTTGCATTTCAAAGAAGTTGACATTGGATACATATTTTATAATTAATTAATTTTGTGTTTATTCATGGAGAAATATTTGAACATAATTATGTGACCGGTTTCCTTCCCGAGAATTATTACCAATAGATTTTAAATTAAGCACAATTTTGCATCAATGGAAACGCTCAGCCTATTTTGATGTCAGTCAGTCAGACTCAAAATCATCTCGTAATCATCGTTCAAGTTGCATTTTACATATCTTCTGTAGATTTTCCGAATACTAAGTCGGAATCGCCCAGAAATTAGTTTGAAATCATGGGTATTACTCGCACTGGTCGTGACATCGACAATCAAGATGAATCCGTCTCCAACTATCATTCTGTCAATGAGTAAGTTCTTATCTGTTATGTTATGCATCCCTCCTTATCACCTAAATTTTTCAACTTCTCTTCCCTCTTTTTCCATCGAATTTCCGATTTTATTTTCTTACCCTCCCGCAACCACACTCGCAACCCCATTGTTAAATCTACCAGCAGCATACATATTTATCGGAGTATCTCAAAGTCTTAGTGTCCATAATGATGTTTAAGTAATCTGTCCCTACGAAATTCCTTGACACTGTTTTCGTTCACAAATGTCAATGGAAAACTTCTCATCAATGACATATCCAGTATTGTTTTGGAATACTTAAAATTCACCTATGCGCACCAAAATCTCTGAAACATTCATTGATATCGGACACTCTGTACTATCATGTTGTTAGAGTATCTGCTTGGCAATCTGAAAGCTCAAACAAAATTAATTTTAATAGTTCATTCAAAGACAAGAACGGCTGCATTTTCGATGATACTTGCCCATTTTTCATCGTATGATCTCTCTGTAAGGGCAAGAATGTCGGAAGCAGTTATGCCTGTTGGCTGGATTAAAGCTTCCGAGTTTCAGACCATTTTTATCTTGTTTTTTTTCCACAGTCCTAGGAAAATATTCCTGGGTGGAAAAAACATTAAACTAGCATTCAAAAGATAGGAACGTACACAATTTGGAAGTAAGCTCTGGAAATAAATTTTAATGAGAACATAATTCAGTCAGTTTAGAGTCAGGAATAAGTTAATGCTTTTTTAGGGTGCAATAGTCGGTTCACTCTCTTGATTCTTGATTTACGTTTAATGCTGAACTGAAGACAGCTGATCTTTTTTTGCACTCTAAAAGTTGAGTAAACTTCATTGGCATGGACACAAGCACTAACTTTACATTTATTGTTTATGCAAGTTTTGAGGTCTAAAATGGCGGGAAATGTCAATTAGGTAAGGCTACGGTTCGAATGTACGCTAATTCAGGAATAGGGAAACCAAAATGCAACTAAGCTGGGAGATCAAGCCAAGATCAACCCAGCATTTGAAAATGGAAGGTAGGTTAATATTGAGGGAACAACTGCTGAAAAGATAAGCAATAGGGATAAAATTGAAAGATTCCTTTAAATCCGAAAATTGTGGGTAAAATTAAAAAAAATTGAGATGTCCCGAAATTTGGGATCACTCCTATGAAATGATAGTACTAAATGCTTAAGTAAGCAAGCTAGGGCTTGCCTCTAACATCAGGAAATCCATCAGTACATGAGGAAATTTTTGAGACAAAATCGTTTTACAGCCACATTGAAAGAGAGAAAATGCAAGAATTTATCGACTTTTGAAATTTCTTGATTCCATGAGGCCCTTTAGATCGCCAGAGTGCATTTAGAAATGATATGTAGTTATACCTATTTTTAAAATTGAGCCCAACAATTCATAATAATTTTTTGACCATTTGTGCTGAAAAATTGGTGTCTTTACATTATGAATTTGAAATTACCACACCCAGTAGTTAGCAGACCAGGTACTCTATTTATTTATTTGTCTACTAAGTGGCTATGCCCCCAGACTGTTTTGTGGTCCAACTCTTGAAGCACTTGGCACCTCAGGTGTTATTATGCTTTACGCATTACCCTATGATTTTAAATTATACAGCATGATTGATAATTTGTTGTTTGCTATTTCAGGCATATCTGTTCGAACATCATTATCTCACTCAATGTTTTTTTTTTTCAATTTTACTTTTTTTCAGCCCGCCTGAGCCCTCAGACCTCGAATCGGAGGCAGTCTCTGTCATCTCGGAAGCAGTTGTCGATTTTGATGATGAAGTTGTTTTCATCGAATCTGATTTGAATAGGTTGAATGATGAGCTTACTCAATTGCTTGTCATTGAGCAACCCCGCCGGCCCGCTCCGAGGATCCGCCGAAGGGCCCGGTCAGAATCATTGGTTTATTTCCTTGATAAACAGGTTTTGAACCCGAAGAAAATGGCATCTCTTGGAAAGCGTGCTGCTCGTCGCTATGCCAATAGTAAGTTCCTCAACTTTTTAGCCAAAATTACCTATTTTGAAAGGATAAAAGAAATATTATATTTCTAGATATTAGGTATCTACCAACTTTTATTTTATGGTGTTTAGTGAACTAGAAATCTAGTAAAACACCCAGTAAGCAGGAAAAAATGAAGAAAGCTTCAGTATAGCATTGTTTGCTTCTGAACATGCCTCACTCAAATTAGTGATTGTACGTCTGTCTATGTGCAATTGCAGTCTGCAGCTCAAAAAGTTCCTACTCTGAGACTTCTATAATTTTCAAATTTTTGTAAAATGAATAATCTTGATTCTTCCAATTAATTTGAAATTATGTCTGGGTGCTGAGTGACAGCAGCAGATTTGTACTTAAGTGGTGTTAAGATCGTGCAACTGAGTTGATTTTTTCTCTCAGATTATTTTAATATAATCTGAGCACTGTACAGATTTGAGTGCGTAGTAGATAAAACAGTGATAAAATGTGAGTACATGGTTTCCAGAAATGAGTAAATTAAATAGTATCTTACCTGGTAAAATCTAAATTGAAACCCCAAGCTCTGGTTTTTCTTGCTAAACTATGGTTGCATATTTTTAGCTATGAAGAAGTGTGTTAAATGGAATAATTATTTTTCATCAGGTATGCAATTGATTGCCTTTGCTGAAAAAGATCTTGATGCGGATGATGTCGATTCATTTCTATCTCGTTGCAGAGAAGGACCCTTCTATGGACTCTTGTCCGAAAAAGATTCAGAGGTGAGTGCTGTAAATTTTGTGCTCCTTCCCTCCCTTTTCAATTCTTGGATTTTCATCCGATTTGGCCATGGTTGAAACTTAAACAAGGTGTCTCACTCCGTATGTTTTGAGTTTCATCTTCAAACTTTTCACTGTGGGACTCATTAGGCCTACCAATCAATCTATGTTAAACTGCTCAAGGTCCGAGAAAGTAGTTGGCACTGTTTACCATATGCACAAACAATACACTTGTAACGAAGTGGAAATAGGAAAACTAATTGAGAAAATTAGCGGTCAACTAATAACATAGTGGTGCATTTAACTTATTCATTCATTCATGATTTCAACTATTTCATCTTTTTAATTTAGGAGCTGTCAAAGTTCATCAGTGGGTTAGGCTTAGACGAAATATGCCCTAAGAAATTTCTTCAAAGCGCTGAAATGAAGAAGGAAAAGCCTAGAAAGAAGAGTAAGAACAGCACCAAGGATCAGTTTTTGGCAGAGACCGCTTTTCGTAAGATCAGCACCTATCAGAGAAGTTTATTCAAAGGAAGAAATTCCCCGCGGGTAAGGAAAAACTTTATTTGAGAATCCAATCTCACACCAAAATATTGGCTCGCAACTTTTGCTCACTACTTTGTGTGCCTACAATTAAATAATTAGCTAGTGCATAAACCTCTTCCACTTTTTCAGTTTTTAAAAAAAATTGGAAAAAACTGTGCAAGGCTTTAGCATAGGTTCCAAGACGTATGCACATATTACAATAGTAGATTGTAGAAAAGGATCCCTGTTTGTTTTCAGGCCCTCTTCTTTCGAAAAAAGTTTGAAAAAAAAACCACAAAAAACAGAAATTGTATACACTGAAGTATTTTACGAATTTTAAAAAGCTAGAATATCATCCCAAGGAAATTTAATTTTCAAGACATCCAATGTTTTTTACCCATTTGGACAAAAATAGCGCACTGAAAATTTTTTCCCAATGAACTAAGATCCCTTTTTCTGTCGACGGTTAATGTGCTTTTAAAATATAAAGTCATTTTTTATTTTGTCTTTTCTCACAGGGAATCATTGAAACTCAGGAAAATACTTTGGTCAACTTTTTTGAAACATCTCCCGCAGAAATTTGGGAGTCAGCAGAGCTTTCAGACTTTGAACGGTTGATCATGCATGGAGTAACTGAATACTATCAGCTTCAGTCAAAAAGTGAGTTTTTGAATACACTCAGTACTAACATCTAGTAGAAGAGTGTACTGTCAGTCTCAATTTAGCAGCCGCCAAGATATATGAAATAATCTTGGCCCCCTTAAGGGGAGCAACAACAAACCATAGCGTTAAAAAAGGGGCATTTAAGTCGAGAGGGCTTGTTTCCAACCCACCAGCATGATACAAGGCACAATTTTCCAGGAAAAACAGTCATGTAATGAAAAAAGATAAATTCCTATTGAAAAACACTGCCTTAAACCTCTCTAACACTCTTCCAGAGCCCCTAAGGTCATTATTGAAAAATGAAGGAAAGAAAAAATTTGGCATTACTCTCAAAGAGACACTTTTAAGCTGTCCTAGACATTCAATTAAAGAATTTACAGAATAATCTATGAATGTGCCCTAAAGTGTCAGATAATAAAACCTCTTTTGTGATATGATCACTGTACATTACACTTTTCTGCACTTCCAATTAAGTTATGTATGTACAATGTAAATATTATATTTCTGTACAATGTGAATATGACGTGTACCTAGCCTCTAAAATGCTCCTTTATAAAATAAAAAAATGTCTAATTTCAACAGGACTTAAAGAAGAAAGAGAAAAAAGTTGATACTTAGAAAGTTGAAATCCTAAACGACTCAGAGGAATTTTTTCAGATGAGCAGCCGGATTGTTGAAATTTATGTCGGCACGACAAGAATCGAAAATCGATATATTACACGGCACAGATAGGACTATGTCTTGTCGTATCGTGCCGACATAGCCAGTTAAAACTTCAACAATCGGCTGGCAATTTTGGCTGCAGGGTGGACAAATTATGCTTACTTATAGATAAGGGGGCACTGCATTATCCAATTCTGAGTTGTCTTTTTTTCTACTTGGGCAGTAAACAAGACTGGACAACTCTGATAATCCAATGACTCGTGACGGTTTCAGTAATGTATGGGAAATGAGTTAAGCTTGTTGTCTTTATACGTATTATACAAACTTACGAACATCGATGGAAAAGGAAATGGTCCTTTTTAAAGTAAAGCGAAAAAAATTCCTTCTTTATTTTATTTACTCAATTTTATTTTCTCAGAAATAATGTGTTCTATATTTTGTCTTTTTCCCAGGCATCCCAGCCAAGAATAAAAATAAATTAATGCGAGTTTCAAATCATAAAGCTAAGTTCTCAGTGCCTCCGTTACGATTGACTGAATATTTGGACTGTCTTGATCTTCAGTCCAACCGGTGAGTATTTTTCCTTGATTATTTTTAGTAGGATGCCAGCATATTTGGATCAGTTGTTTTAAAACTTAACCTGTCCCTTTTTCCATGACCCCTGAAGTCCTTAATAGTGCTTGGGCTTATTGAAAAATGAACATACGTTTTTAGATCAGCTAAACCGCAACAACATGTATTCAACACATTCAGGGAAATTTCTCCTCACATATTCTGTGTTTTATTACTTCTGTATAGTAACATTCTGGATTTGATTTTTTATTGTTGATAAGCCTGCATTTTCCAATGTAATGTGTGTGTGCAGGTTTGGTACATCTGTCTGGCGGGAGATGTAGGTTGGATGGTTATATAAATGTTTTTTAAACCCATTCTCATGTCATTATAAATGCGCCAGCCGCCCCTAGCAATACAATTTGTTTTTCAATAAAAATACTGCGTTGTTTAATATGAAGAAAAAAATCACTAAGATTCATTCAGATTAGCAACAAAATACCCTAGAATGACGTTTAGAACAATGCTAATGGCGCTATCTATAAAAAAACGGAGAAACACGACAAAAGCATTCCATTAGCAATGCCGCGAGATGGTGTGCCATGACAAGTGCAGGTACTCGCCAATACATACGAATGGGTTAAGTCTGTATAACTCATTGAACATCAGGTCATCAATGACAGTTTTGAAAGAGGAGGGAGAGTAGAAGGAAATGGCGTAGACAGAATTACAAAAAATAGTCAACTCAAATATATTATTTGATCCCAGTCTATAGTCCATGCAGAGTCCATCAACTCAGTCCATAACAATCCCAGTCCTTTGCAAGTGACTAAGAAGTTTGCTTGAGCTCACTCAAATGTATTAGTTTTGTGTATTCATTGCAAGAAAATACAAGTTAATTTTTTTTCTGTGGAAAGTAAGCTGGAACAAGAAGGGTAAATTCCGGTTCATTACACACAGAATTATGTACAGAATCTGTCACATCAGGTCACGTGGTCAAGAAATGTGTACCAGATACAAAGTTGATTGAAAAGTGCATCCTTCTCCAAAAGTCTCCAGACGAAGTATGAATTAAAGCGCTACGCAGCATATTTTCTCCTCATAATTTCACAAGGAGAATGGATCACATAATAGGAAGTCTGGAAATCAACTTCTAATTGAGATACAAGTTTTTAAAGTTAATATTGGTTAAATGACAAGAATATGAATGATGCCATTTGTATAATCTTTCATTTAATCTGTGTTAAAAATACTTGTTATTATTTCGTTCAGGAGTTGATTCCCAAAATTCCCATTGTGTGAATCGTTTTGACATAAGATTTTGAAAAAAGAATTTGTGAATTTTTTCTAGTTCAGACCCTGTCTTGCCCCCAGTTTTGCAGGTGTAAAAAGATAAGTTCGTCTGAATATACAAACTTATAACATCATAATTAAAACTTTAAAAGGGCATTAAAGTGTAATTCAAAACATTGTATCTCTAGAACAGATACAGCGCAAGATTTAGCATCAATCAGTTATTATCAGTCATGATCTTTGTTTCAGATCCAACTGCCGCACACCGAAAGCAGCTTAAACTGCCGTATCTTACCTCGGACAAAATTTCTTAATCGATTGACTCTTCACTTCTTTTTTATGTTCGTTGAATCTGTTTCAATATTTGACTTAATTCATGTACATATGTTCGTATGTAATACTTGGGCTATTATAGTAGATTTAGCTATGTCTTGAGATCGTACAGTGTAAATTGTTTCGAGATCAGCAAGGCCAGAAAATTTTGAAGTCTTGTATCATTTGAGCTGGTAATTATTGAGCTCTTGTTAATTAAAAAGTTAACTTTACTTTAAATTACGTTCTCGTAGCATTTTTCATTCAGAGAAAGATAAAAGCTGATAGCTAGGTCAAGAAATTTGTTCATTTATTTAAATATCAAAAATTTAAGCCTCTAATATCCTCATGAGAGGCATTATTAAGCTCTTAACTCCCTCTTTATTCTTCATTACAGTTTAACAACTCTTTTTTAAGTCCTTTGAAATTTTAAAACGACGAGGGAAACTAATGTATTGAATACATTCAGAAGGTTATAGACAATAGTTAATTTCAGATTTTCATTTATATAGTATTAAATTTAAAGATTTTACTCTTATAACTTGCCTGAATATTAATTTGGACGAAAAATAACTTCCCTGGTCTGTTTTTGATAGTGTTCGAAAGTTCTTTCCCTCTACATATCTCTTTGTGAGCTCATCACAAGCTGAAGTTTTGGTTCAATGTGGAAGAATATGTTTTCAGTTTTCTCTCTCTTGTAATTATATTTTTAGGCTATATAATTTGTGCATCTTGGTGAAAGCATATGGATAATAATTTGTGTATAGATTTAATTGAGTAAGGACTGATGTAAATAATTTGCTGTCTCTCTGTGAGCCTTCAAATTTTGCCAAAACCCTTAAAACTTTCCCTCCCTCTACCCTTTGTGTAATTTTGTAACTTTATAGAAAATGTTTTTTTGGTTTTGGATTATATCCTAACGGAGCCTCTCTAAAATAAAATACAATTAAATGAATCTACGGTGATGAAGCTCTCATGGGCGAATCAAGAGGGCCTTGAGAATTCATGACTTTATTTTCTTTTGTTGTATTCTACCTTTTGTATTTCATTTTGTATGTGTTTTTTTACAAACTAAGAAATGCCTCTTTGTCATCTGAATGTATTTATGAGATGGATTGAAGTTAAGGTGCAGACTGTAGCTAGGTCAGTTTAGCTTTCAGCCTTCAAATTAATATTTATATATATCATCTTAATTTTAATTTCTCCTTAAAATTTTGCACTATCAACGCAGCTCTAGGGGACCACTTGCCTTGATTTCTTTTAAATTATTGACATATTTGAAACATTTTGGATTGTGGAGGAATATCCATTCCTAGAAAACGAGTATTATCGCTTTGAATCCTTCATCTATGGCGCATGAGTGCCTGGTGCATTTAACAACTCAGTGTTTGTTGCACTGTACCTTTAAGACTATTCAGATGCCACACAATATGAAACACGCTATTTAGTCAAAAACCGCAGTTAAAACATCACTGAGAAACTTTTTTGTTATCAATATTTATCTATCTTTTATTCACTGCCGAATCTTATCATTCTACATATTATTTATTCATTTGTGTTACTAAGCATTCTGTGATTTAGACAGAGCTGATTTCCATTGCAAACCAAAATTTTTTGAAATTGCATAATGAAGATCAGCATTAACACTGAGATTTTTCAGCTTGATTATCACAAATTTTCCTAATTGAATGCTTGTAATCAAAAAGTTCCAGTAAATAGGAATGGCTGAGGTCGATTGTGTGCAATTTTCTTGCTATTTGTGGGTGCATTTTAAGTTATCTTTTTGGTTTCTATTTTAATCAATGCCTCAGGAAGATTTAGATGCGTGAATTTGGCATTAATATCAAAGAATTTTTCCAGTGGTAAACCTTATGTGCCTTTAGGAAAAATGGACTGTTTTTAACTTACCATTGATTGGGTCAATCACTATTGACCTAAAGTAGTGTCACCTATTCTGTCATAACTGCCACCTATGACTAAGTTGAGATCGTTTATCAAATCATTGTTACAGGGTTTCCTACGCTGTCATAATATCTTTGATCTTGTATTCTTAAAATCATTACCAACGAACTTCTTGAAGCCACCAATTTGACCTATGGATCATGTCTTTAATTCTCAGGCATTGATGTACCTAATGACTATATTGATCCTTATAATCATGGATTGTAACAAAATAAAAAAAATGTAAATATAGGCAGTTGGTGTGAAAAATATGTGGTGAAACAATCATCTTTGTATTTTTCTCAATGTTTGTTTTCTGGATAATGATTCGTTGCATTTATTTTCGATCTATTCACTGAAAGTGATGTAACAATCGGCATAGAAAATGGCCAGTCAAAATACTGCAAGTTCAGTCTAGAATATTACTGTGTTATTTTGATATGTTTCTTATCAAAAACTAGGTGGGTCATCCCGTCAGTGGACATGGTTATGACATTAACTTAATATATGGGATTTTTCCTGTAAATTTCATCGAGTTTAAATCATTGTGCCAAAACTAAAAGGTGTAAAGTTAAGTTTTGTTTCCAGCAAATACTGTCCCCTCTATACGTAATGAGGTGTAGAAGTGAAAAATATGTAAATATTTTTTATGGAAGAGGCTGTGATTCAATATCAGCTGGTTTTTTAAAATAATGTTTTTGTGAAACGGCTATCTTTCAGTGCAGGCCTGCTTTGCACGAATGCTTTTCTCTATTTTAATATTTTCAAATGCTGAGAGTGTCAAGCAAACTGGATAAGCTGGACAAGTCAGGGAATTCAAGTTTAAAACTTTGTTTTCGATTTTGTAAAATTCAAATCTAGTCTGTTGTAATTTAATTTCGTCATTTTGTGCTGCTGTTTTTCCCCAGTAGTCGTTGAAATAATATTTTGCTACTTGCATGAAAACCATCATGTTTAAATCAAGTTTGTGATCGCATCGATAAAAGTCTCTGGTTTTAATGATACTTAAACAGAAATTGTGTTGCATAACCTAGTAAAAATAAAAAAAAATGTTGGAAACTTTAATAATGGAAAGTTAGAATATTAGAGCAAATCACTCTCAGACATCCTGTATTCATGGAAAGTTGAGAGAGGGACCACTTGGCACTCTGCAAGATGTTTTTTAATGCTACTTTGCTTCAGTCAAAAATGTTTATTTTATGTTTTGTTTATTTCTCAAATCCTGTGGATAGCACAGAGAAAAAAAAAAATGTACATATTTACTTACCCCTCCTTATTTATACATATATTTACCACAAATTTATCGCAGATTGCAACTCTTATAAAGTATAATTAGACATACTATAGAATTGGAAAAAGGGTTTGGAAGCAGCTGAACTCGTTACGTTTTATTTATTTACTTATGTATGATCGAGTCTGTGAAAAGGGACTTGATCTCCTGGGAGAAAATTTGCATTTGCTTTTCCTCAAATGCATGGAGGAAGAAAATCTGGACATTGTTGCGCAAAGACCTTGTTAGCTGAAACATTGAAGGAACTATGAGTCCTAAAGATCCAAGTTAAACATTTTTGCTGTAGAAAATCGTGGTTTGCGTTTTCAAATAACATAAAAGAAAATGTTTTCCCAGAAAATGAGGCTCCTTTCCATGGATCCAGTCATATTTATCTGTTTATCTTCTTTTATTTTTTTTTGTAACTAACAAATAGGTTTTTATGTAGTTGATATTATTAACTGTTTTGTTTGAAAGTGTATCTATCTGATTGTCATTAAATTTTCCGATATGTTCGGTAGTAGGTTTGAGTTAATAACCTCTGCTCTTTGTTAAATGAATGTTTTAGCTGTATTTTATTTTATTGCATCATCATTCTATTTAATTTCTCTAAATTTATTTAATAAATTGATTAATGGGCATGCAATCTAAATATTTTTTTTTTAATTCTCCTTTTAAAAGCGATACCTGCTCGGAATTTTCTTTTTTAAGTTGACAGTGTAGGTACAAGAGAAGTGGAAGGTAAAATCAGGAAATTCCAGAGTCCATCTTGTCAACTTGAAATGTTGATTTTTCTACATATCTAATATATTGTAATGGATTTGCAGTTAGTATTTATTATTTTCCAAAATTCTTTTATCAATTTTTTCCCCTTCCTTAAAATTGTTTTACTGTATCTAATGTAAGTTCAGTTATTCGACAATGTGCCCAGAGGCAAGGAGCCTCTTTGCAGAAAAATAATCGCACATTTCATAGATATTTTTTCAAAAACCATCGATAAATTTTACAAGTTTTTTCTCTTCTCGCCAATATTGGCTTGTGACGTCATGCAGTGTCATTGTGTAAGCACTTACGTATACCACCCAAACTCATAAGCAGCGTTGCCGCAATAACTTGCCTTCTGATCACCCAAACGAGACCCTGAGCAGACGAGGCTCCAAGATTGCATATGTGCTAAAGTGAAGGCGCATCATACCGTGTAAATCCAAAAACACGAAATCAATCAATTTATTATGTTTTATTAACCGTTTGACCGTAATTATGGTTTAAAATGGGGAGAAAAACAAATTTTAATTGCTGATGCCAAAAACACGTATCTCCGTTCCGGGCGTCAGTCCTTCGTTCCGAAAACACGCACCTCCCGTATTTCTATACCGTTTATCGTAACTGCTAACATAATTTAGCAAAAACGTCAAGGGACTCAAAAAGTATCCTATCCATTCTCGATATTTTCACCACGTATTATCTACGTTGGCATTGGCAACCGGATCTACTGGAGGGAGTTGGAAAGTTTTTTCACTCTTCTGAAAAATCGTGTTTTCGAAGATACGAGCGTGCTTTTTGATCCCTCGCCCGCCATATCGACGGTGAGGCTACCGGACCACGTACCTCGGTTTGCGACATCGCAGACTTCCTGTCATACTTGATTTTTTTGATGGAAAACTACTCTATTGTCAATTCTTGGAAATCTCCGCGGGTTTTCATTTCTGCGTGAAGAAAAATCGGTGAAAACTTCAAGGAATGATATTGGATCGTTCTCCTTCACTCACACTACTTCACAAAATGGGAGCGAAGATTTAAACACCGCAAACAAGATAAGTGGCCTGTAAAGTTTGTTAGTAGGTAAAGTAGTGTATTTCGACGTTGTAAGTCGGCAATCACATAACTCGGTTTGCGACGTCGCTGACTTCCTGTCATATTTTATTTTTTAAACGGAAAACTGCTCAACGGTAATCCTCTAAAACTGCCGTGATTTTTCTTCTCTGTGCGACGAAATTTCTGCAAAAACTTCAAGGAATGATGTTAATTTGTCCTCCTTTAAAAAAATAACATAGAGTCGGAGATTTTCAGACGTCGCAAACGAAATATGTGACATTGCGGACTTACGCTACCTACGCTGTCGATTTGTCGAAGGAGCTTGTGTCGAAGGCCGGATTTAGGGGTTGGCCACATGGGCCGCGGTCCATGGCGGCAAATTTTGCAATTTTTTTAAATGTAGTTTTAAAAAAAATCGAATTCAGAAAAAAATCACAAACTAGAAAAGGCAACAAAATCTCTAATTTCCTGAGAGCACAGTAATTTCTAATATTGTTGTCCATCAGTGATACAAGAGACAGCACCTTTAATTAGTCGAGTTAAGAGAGAAACCAAACACGCACTTTAGCCTGGAGCGGCACGGCGCAGAGAGAAGTGATGACAAGGACTTATGTGGAAAGGAGAAGCCCTCTGAGCAGCGGTCGGCATATAAGACATATTAGCGCCTACGAGACTCCATGCATACTTCACGCATTGCGGCAAACATAGTGAGGTCAGCAGCGGTCGGCGCGAAACGCATAGCGCCTACGANAGGCGTTTTCAAAATAGCCAAGTTCCGATACCCGGATTATCGTTTTGCATAGTTTATATTCTTTTGTTATATTCCGTACCACTCGTTTATTTTTAATCCTCGTAGAAAAACCACCCATTTGCTAAATACAATTCTAGCTGAAGCGCACTTAAGCGCATTCATGACTGCAAAAATGTTAAAGGAAATCGGGCCTGATCAAAATTGAACAATTTCAAGCTTTAGAACAAGCGCCTACGAGACTGCATGAATACTGCACGCATTGCGTCAAACACAGTGCGTTCAGCAGCGCAGCTGTCGGCGTGAAACGCGTAGCGCCTACAAGACTGCATGAATACTTCACGCATTGCGCCAAAGACAGTACGGCAGCGCGGCGCGGGTGGAAGTCAAAATTCCTAAACCAAACTGTTTGTTCTTTCATAATTTTTTTGTTCACATCTTACAAATTGGAGGCCTAGTCCACACAGAGATAGTTTTACGGAACTTAACTTTTGCGCAAAGTTTCGTGAACTTTTGCTAGAAAAGTTTATAGGGCTTCGCAAAAAAATGTGTCCAACACGAGTAAACACGTTTTATGCACCCCTCCTCCTCCGGCACGTTCACTTGATGGTTTTTATTAATGAATCAAAACGAATGAGAAGGGGGTGGCAAAATACAGGCGACCCATGGGCGGCAAGTACGTAAATCCGGCTCTGCTTGTGTCGCTTACACTAAAATTGAAAGCAAGTTGACATGACGTTACTTAAAGGAACCTCCTCCAGTTGGGTAAGAAGCTAATTTTATTGTGTGTTGCCAGTGAGAGTATCATTGCACGACAATATCACCGTTCGACCAAGTAGTAGCTCGTGTTGTCTACTCTGAAATTGAAGGCGAATCACATCGCCACCCTCCGGCAAAAGTATCACAAGCACCATGCGCGCGTTTAAAAATTTCCGCTGCCAAGTTATTTTTTTACAGAAAAATTGTCGGTTGAATGTATTTGAAAATTTCATTGAATTCATTAGCAACACAAAGAAAATTCAGTGAAATTTTTGGACTGCCTCGTTGAAACATTTCTCTGTAAACAAATAAAATGGTGGCGGAAATTTTCTAACGTCGCATGGCACTCGTGATACTTTGGCCAGAAGGTGACGACATGACAGTAATATAAATTTTTACCGTTCGGTAAAAAACTAATTTTTGCATTTTATATTCCGAGTAAGCGGGCAACTTCACAACTATTCTACCTCTTTACTACTTCTTCTTTTTCTTCTTCTTCTCCCTCTTTTCTACCCTCTCTTTTCTGGTTCCCCCCATTTTTTCTTTTTATTATTTTCATATCTTCCTAATCTCTCTCTTTTCTTCATACTCATACTTGTCTTTTTTTCCCGTCGTCGTCGTCGTCTTCTTTTTCTTCCCATTTTCTCCTTTTCTTTCTCTTTCTCTTATTCTTTTCTTTTCTTCTATTTTCTGTAATTGCTATTGATTTTCCAGTTTCAAAATTTAAACAGTTAGGTAGAAAAGTGATCGAGACCATAGTTTTGGTATCCAACCCGTCTTGGGTTTTGCATACCGGGAGAAATCTTGCTGGAGGAAGTAGGGAAGGAAAAAAAAAATACAGGAAATACAAGAAAATAAATGTGTACCACAAAGCTTGAGCGATTTTTCAAAGCTTGAAATTGTTCAATTTTGATCAGGCCCGATTTCCTTTAACATTTTTGCAGTCATGAATGCGCTTAAGTGCGCTTCAGCTAGAATTGTATTTAGCAAATGGGTGGTTTTTCTACGAGGATTAAAAATAAACGAGTGGTACGGAATATAACAAAAGAATATAAACTATGCAAAACGATAATCCGGGTATCGGAACTTGGCTATTTTGAAAACGCCTTCAAATGCGGCGTGATACCTCACGCATTCCGGAGAGTTCAAATAGTTGTATCATTGCGCCGTATGAATGTGACGGAAGATTTAAATGGAAATAGCCTTCATGCAGGCTCGCCACATCTCATCTCGATCCCTGGTACCAGTTTTAAGGTCCGGGCCCTAAGCACGGAGGGGGGGGGGTCCGAGGGGCATCCCCTGAGAAATTTTAGAATTTATACGACTAATCGGACGCATTTTGAAGCTTCCATAAATCATTTTTCCATCAATTTCTGCGGAATAATTATGTTTTTTTTTTCTACTTGCAGCACAAAGTACTTGCGAATTGTTGCATTCAAAACATCTGGAATTTTTTTTTTTTTTTTTTNTTTTTTTGGGGGGGGGGCATTTGATACTATTTTCAGTTCTATGAGGGCCAGGCCCCCCTGGAGTCCCCCTTCGTTTGTCTATGGGAAGGGAGTTGAGCCATGAGCCATTGAAGTCGAGGACGCCCAGACTGGAGACTCTTAGCGTCTAACTACGGAAGAAAATGAAACGCAGTTACTACAAAATATCCCTCAGTACTGAAAATCTTGAAAAAAGATAGAAAGTTTCCATGAAGTATACTTCTTTGAAAATTAAGGAAGAATTCTATAGTGCCCCAGCGTGTTTCTGAAAACCTATTCACCTTTTGCGTAATTTTTAGGGTAAATTTTTCACTTTTTCTTACGAAACAAGGGATGCATGTGAATTCATAGTGGTTTTTCACGGGTAACACGGGCCCCCTCCGGGCCCCGGGCCCCGGGCCCCGGTGGACCCAGTATCCCCCCCCCCCTTTGTGGCGGGCCAGCCAGCACGCTGGGCTTGTCGATTTCCTTTGACATTTTTGCAGTGGTGAATGCATAGCTGAAGTGCGCTACAGCTAGAATTGTATATAGCAAATGGGTAATTTTTATAGGAGGATTGAAAATAAGCAAGTGGTTAGAAATGAAGACAAAATACTATGAATACTTGAAATACTTCAGCTAGAATTGTATTTACAAATGGATGGTTTTTCTACGAGGATTAAAAAGAAACAGGTGGCACGGAATATAACTAAAGAATATGAACTATGCAAAACGATAATCCGGGTATCGGAACTTGGCTGATTTAAAAACGCCTTCAAATGCGGCGTGATACCTCACACATTCCGGAGAGTTCAAATAGTTGTATCATTGCGCCTTAGAAATGCGACGGAAGATTACAATTGAAGTAGCCTTCATGCACGCTGGCCTTTTCGATTTCCGTTAACTTTTTTGCAGTCATGAATGCGCTTCAGCTGGAATTGTATTTAGCAAATGGGTGCTTTTATAGGAGGATTATAATTAAACAAGTGGTTAGAAATGGAAACAAAATAATATGAACTATGCAAAACGATTATTCACATATCGGAACTTGGCTGTTTTGAAAACGCCTTCAAATGCGGAGTCATACCTCACGCATTCCGGAGAGTTCGAATAGTTGTATCATTGCGCCGTCAGAATGTGACGGAAGATCTAAATGGAAATAGCCTCCATGCACGCTGGGATTGTCGATTTAATTGTCGATTGCCGACCTTACGGAGATCACGGGAGTTAATGTCCATGGGAACCGAGAAGCCTTAAATTAGCCTAAATGTGGAAAAAAAAGAAAAAACAAATGAGGAAGAAGGAGAGGACAAGTAAGAAGAAGGAGCGGAAGAAGAAAAAGGAGAGGAAGAAGAAGAAGGATAGGAAGAGGAAGAAGGAGAGGAAGAAGAAGAAGGAGAGGAAGAAGAAGAAGGAGAGGAAGATGAAGAAGGAGAGGAAGAAGAAAAAGAAGAAGAAGAAGAAGGAGAAGAAGAAGAGGGAGAGGAAGAAGAGGAAGGAGAGGAGAAGAAAATCTCCTCTTCCCATGACTGACTCACATGGCAACTGTGAATCTACCACCGAAACTCGATGCTCGTGCTAAAGATCGACCGGTTACTTTGTTTAAAATCAATTAGGGCCAATATCCTCTCGGCTTTGGAGCTCCAAGTGTTAAATTTCGACCATCGTCAAGAGTCTTTGGCCCACGGCGTTCGCAACTTCCCCTCCGTATTCATTAAAAGTGTCCGACCTCCACGCTCCGTTATCAAATTGTGCGGAAACATTACTTATTTTCGATGGGCTCAATCTCGTTGCATCTGAACATTTCGAGTCCTTACGAAGAGTCCGAAACAACCCGTCGACCCCCAAAATTACTTGCTCGCCGCGTGCTGAGTATGCGCAACGGTCATGGAAGGTGGGTTTGACCGACGAGTCTTGCACCCCGTGGAATCGTTCATGCCCAAGTGGCACAGAGGAACGAAAATAACGAAATAAATTAGCTTTTTAATTTCAATAAAATTGTAATTTTTTCACAATTGAATTACAATATTTTTAAATCATTTAGTCGATTTATGTCAATTTTAAACAATCAACAAAACGAGTTCCATGTGTCAGAAAGATAGGCAATGTGCAGGGCAATGAAAAATTGCAACTTATTTCAATTTTATTGTAATAAGTTTCGATATATGAGGCCCCTTCAAATAGAAGCTAGGCAACACACACAACACTTAGGGGAATTGCAATAATTTTACCAAGTAATTGCTACCAATTGCAATCTGTGCTACTTGGGATTGTCGAATCAAATACACGCATTTTCCAACTTAGACCATTGATGCACGATTTTTTTTTAGTAAACTTGACAACCCTCTAATTGATTGTCTCCGTCACGAGACTGTCTATGTCTCGATGGAGCGATTGTCACGTGCCGTTAATTCCCTCTGTTTCAGTCAATGATCTGCGCGAGGAGTGAAAATGAGATCATTCAAGGGGCTGTCTGTCAGCTCCCTGGGTCAGAGCAACCATCGCCATTAGAGCTTACGAGCATTAATCAATCACGTCTTTTCAATCAGAAAATAACCCAGAGTCGCGCGGAGAAGTCAGCAATGATTGAGCTTATGTTAATTGATGGTTTAGCCATGGAAACACTTATGTCCAGTTGCAACGTTGCAATTTTTTTGTCATTTTTAAGGGAGAATCAATTGATATCATTTGGACGTATTAGTCTGATATAAACGCTCTCAGCCGGATTATAACAAAAAAAAAGAGTTGGAATTAGTTTTGTATTCAACTCGTCGCGTATGTTCGCCTGTCAGAAACTCAAAATCGAGATAATGTATAATTTTGAACCCGAAAATAGTTGTTAAACTTTGTCGTTAACATTTAGTCTTAAGGCGAAGTACCGAATATGCTCTTTTTCCTGGTTCTAGCTTGATACAACTTGGTACGTTTCTGATAAACTCGGTTAATTTTTTGGAAGATTCCGCGCTTTATATCACATTGCTCAGTTAGAAAATCATCGTGCAGGGCTCTCATTATAATCATGGTCTTGAGAATTTCACAGAAACACAAGATGTATGATGAGCAAGCATAAGGGTGTTTCGTAATAATGGATGATGAAAAAAGTCCCATAGGTAGAAGACTTCCAGAGCCCAATCTCGCTCTGGAGCGCCTCCATACCCGCATGATACTTCACGCTTTGCCTTACAGTTAGTTTAGTTGCTTATCCGATCTGATCCCACCGAAAAAAAGTTGTCACTTGTCATTCTTCATTCAGGACGTGACTTGAAATTCGCGAAATACTCCGGATCTTTTGCATTTTCCGGAAATTTCTCGGAACTGTTGAAAAATTCTAAAAAGAATCCCGGAACTTTTGACGGAGTGGGAGAATTGGACGTATTTCTGCCACACGGAACTATGTGCATTATGACGTGAGCCCTGTTATACATATAACTTTATGAGTCTCAGGGCTCATGTCTCAATGCATATAATTCCGTTTGGCAGAAGTACGCCCGATGGAGATGTTGCATGTGTGAGGAATTTGCAATTTGACTGTTGATTCTTATGTAAAAGTTCGCGAGAATCACGATGGTGCCACTGGTTTTCTCTGAAATCAACTCCCAAGCTCAAAAAAAGCTCTCAAGTTGAGGCCAAAATGGAGGGGATATCCCACCCTACCCTGAGAGTCCACCTACACATCAAAACAAACTCTCCATGCAAAGATAGGGAGCAAATACATTGACAGGGCTGCCACTTTATTTGGGGACTCCAAAACTGAAAACACGGCAACCCTGCTAATGTATTTGCTCCCTATCTTTGCATGGAGAGTTTGTTTGATGTGTAGGTGGACTCTCAGGGTAGGGTGGGATATCCCCTCCATTTTGGCCTCACTTTGAGAGCTTTTTTTGAGCTTGGGAGTTGATTTCAGAGAAAACCAGTGGCATCATCGTGTTTCTCGCGAACTTTTACATAAGAAACAACAGTCAAATCGCAAATCCCTCACACATGCAACATCTCCATCGGACGTATTTCTGCCAAACGGAACTATGTGCATTATGACGTGAGCCCTGTTATACATATAATCTTATGGGTCTCAGGGCTCATGTCTTAATGCACGTAGTTCCGTTTGGCAGAAGTACATCCAATTGGAACAAAAAAGTTCCGAATTCCGGAACTTTTGACGGACATGGAGTGGGAGCCCTGGAGCATGCTAGAGTCCCTTTATACCCAGAGTTAGGACAACTCACTTTTGGTTGGGCTGAAAGTGGCCTTAAAAAAAATCCAATTCTGATTGGTTCTCGCTCATGGAGGCCGAAACGAGTGCACCAAGATGGCGGTACCTCGAATGTGAACAAGAATAATGAAAATATTACCTAATTGTGGTTTATCAAGAGTAAATTGTTATTTCCATCGGTCCAAAATGAAAATAGATTAAGAAATTATTCACAAACCAATCTCATTTTCTTTTTAATTCATCAATTTGTTGATGTTGTTGTTTTTGTGTGACAGACATCGCAGGATTCCTGATCCTTATCCCTTAATATCGTTTGTTTGGGTGCACTCGTTTCGGCCTCCATGGCCAGCCAAGGCCGGCTGCCAGTCAGCTGATAATCGAGTTGTCCTAACTCTGGGTATAAAGGGACTCTAGAGCATGCGAGCCGGGCGACGACATGGCAACTGAGGCGGAGTCCCGATTGAATGCATTAAAGTTGCAGCTCGATGCGTGAGGAATTGGCGACAGGCTCCCGGGTCCCGGGTCCCGGAGGCGTCCCCCGTGCCCGTGGCCCGTGGCTCATCCAAGATGCGGGACCGGGTTGCGGTTGTGGGTGCTCCTGCTCATCGCAGCTTCCTCCGCGGGACCCGGACCCGGCGGCCGCTAGTCGCGAGTTGTCCACGGGACTCGAGTTACATGTTCGGCCGAGTCACCCGCCGCCCTCCTCCCCCGCCCGCCGCAGCGGAAGCCCATGTGGAATTGTGGACGGACCGTCTCCCTCCAGGATAGACAGTCGACTTGCTTCCATCAGATGTTCGATCCGACCCCGTGTTTCATCGGCCCCCCGGTTCCATCCTCGGTTCGCCCGGAGCGTTTTTCGAGGTTTCCCGAGAGTTTCAACCGAGTGCGAGTCATTCCGAACTTTGTTTTTTGTGTGTGTGTGTTTGAGCTTTTTACATAGATCGGAGAATTTGTCGAAATTTTCGAGTTCAGCTTGCATTTGAAAAAAAAAATGTGGAACTGAAAAGTAATCAACGACGATTTTGAAAGGATACAAGTGTGAGTCATCCCAAACTTTGGTTTTTTTTGTGTGGGTTTAAGCTTTTTATACCGATCGGAGAATTCGTCAAAATTTTCGAGTTCGGCTTGCATTGGAAGAAAATGTGGAGCTAAAAACTTATAAACGAAGATTTTGAAAGGATGCAATCGAGTCACACAACTAGTGCTCGGCGTGCCACACTTGGCAATCACACGTGAAAAAGTGCGGTACCGAAATGTTGAGGACAGTGTTGGATTCGAGAGAATCTGCTTTTGAGTACGTTAAAAAATTATATTGTTAACAGTGCCTCGGTACAGTTTTCGAGTGTTCAAACGTTGTGGTATGCGAGAGTACGGGAAACACGTATTCGTGAAGCAAATGATTCAGAACTGAAGGGAATGCGGATGTAGGTAAACTTTTGTTAGAAGTTGGAAAAAAGTTTTGAATCGTCAAAAGAGCGCTGGTGAAACGATGAATATCGAAAAATTTGCTCCGAAATGTGTAAGAGATCCGACCTTTACCTCTTTTTAAAAATCGATCAAATGATAGGTATCGGGATTTTGCCACTCGTCTCCTCGCTCAAATTCTTTAATTTCTCCAGCGATGCAGTCCCAAGACCAAGTTAACTCAATTTTTCCAGGATTTTTGTGTTGAAAAACTTCTTTATATTAACTGAATTTATCTAATATTATTCGTCTTTGAAATTCTAAAATTTTCAGCTCGTCATTTGTCAAAAACCTTAAATTTGATCGCAGCAAATCGACCTTGATAACTGTTCCACTAAACCATGACTTTACGGCGTATTCCCGCTTTATTTTAAGGTGCATTTCCGATTCCAATATTAAGGCTTCCATCGCAGCCTCTCACAAGAGTCGTAGGTATCTTTAACAGACTTCTACTCACAGAAATCTATGTAGGTATCGTATAAACACCTCAATGCATTGCAGTGTGGATATAATAAGCTTTACGGGCCTAGTACATCGAGATAAGTAGAAGTAGACTCAATCCTTCATTTTGAACCTTCTTTTATAGGTCATCAGATTTTCAGCCCCTTCCCCCGCTTCTAGTATTCCAAAGTACACCGGGTCGATTCCCAACTTGTGTGGCTCATGCAGACGATTCACAGCAGAAATTGATTTTTCAATAAATTGAGCTTAAGGTTCCAGTCCTTAAACTTTTCACAAACCCCGTTGAACCGTGATCTTCCTGAAGTCCAAAGCGCCAAAAAATGCTCCAGACACCCTTTAACCTCGCGGTTTCTCTTCCGTTCGCACGGAGACTTCCGGAAATGGTGCGATGGGTGGTGTTTCCGGTTCTGCTCCTGGCGACGCCGCTGTCAGGACGCGAGCCCTCGGGTTTGGCGCAGGGTCCTCTGATGGTGGACTGGCGGTCAGCCGGGAGGAACGTGCAGCCGACCTGCGTGGACATCAAGGCGGAGATGCAGTTGTGCCACGGAATAGGGTACAACAAGATGCGACTGCCAAATCTCCTCGGACACGACTCCATCGCCGAGGTGGTGCATCAGGCAGCCTCCTGGGTGCCTCTCCTCAACGTCCGATGTCACACGCACACGCAGCTTTTCCTCTGCTCCCTCTTCAGGTGAGATCGATTTCATCTCTTTTTTTTCGAAAAACTTCGAAGAAACCGAAATGATGGCGAAACCTCAAAAATGCTTATCTCGTTTGCGCTGTTATAGAATCTCTGTTCATACTTCATTTTTTTCAAGCCAGACCCAACCGACACTATGGCTTGAAATTTCCATCGATTCGAGATTAAAACATGAAAGGAAATACGTAGATTTGTTTTGTGCATTTATAATTACAATATTTGAATGTGTAGTTTATGTAAAAAAAAACTAAAATTTCCCATGCAAATCAGCATACATTTACACAAACGTCTGACGTAGATAAGCAAATTCCGGCGAAATCTGCCCATATATTTGGACCACGTTATTAACAGGAAGGAACCAAGCCACATCAGTCATTACCAAATTTATCTGGGCAGTTTAGTTGTTTTTACGAGAAAGCGCTTGTGCGGGTTCCTTTGAAAATTTTATTGAATTTGCTTCCCTTTATAGAAAAAATTCACTGAAATTTGCACAAAAATCCGCACAACCGTTTTCATGTGAGAAATTAAATTGCCCAATTAAATGGCAAGAGCTGATGTGGCTAGGTTCTCTTTCTGTTTAACGAGGTCCATTTGTGACATCCAAGGGTGGGGTTAGCCGGCAAGGTTGGCCTAGTGGTCAGCGCGTCTGACTCTATAGGCTCCGGGTTCGAATCCCGGTAGTGCCGTCATCTTTTCACGGAACTGACGAGTAGATCTGCAAGAACGGATTCTACTCGGTCTTAATCCCTGAAAATTTGAAAAGCCTGGAGCATGGATGTCCTCATCGCCCTATCGTCTAAGGACACTAAATCTCTGTCTATAGTTGGCTGTAGATCTCTGAAAATAAGTATAAGCCATTAAACCTGCCAAAAAAGGATAGGGTAACATATTGGGCAAATGAAAACAAATTTTTCAAATTTCTTTCCGCAGTCCTGTATGCCTGGATCGACCGATCTATCCGTGCCGCTCTCTGTGCCAGCAGGTAAAGCAAGGGTGTGAAAAACGGATGAAGACTTACGGTTACCCTTGGCCGGAAATGTTCGAGTGCGAAAGGTTTCCGGAAGACGATGACATGTGCATTTCCGCTCATACAAGATCGCGCGCTCCTAATGAGGAGGGAACTGTAACGCCAGGTAAGAACTAATTTCAAATGTTTTATCCAACCATGCGGTATGAATTTTTGTGTAGACTGCGAATTCAGCAGTTATGACCGAAGAATTGCTTTTTTTCCAGCAACAGCATATTTGCCATTTATATTCTCATACGTGACCAGAAAATGGAATTGAGGCACTGGATGCGAAAAGGGCACCTCTCGATTGCAGTGTTTCAGAATTTCTGTTGCTAATTAATCCATTGGAGAAGAATTTAATGGGTGATTTTGCCAGAATTCTTTCCATAGAAAATTGTAGAATCATGAGGAATATTCAGTGAAAGTTTTAGTGAAATGGATGCATTCACTTTCCTTGCAATGAATGAAATATTGGAGGAAACTCTGAAACACTGCAAACGAGAGGTGTCTTTTTCGCATCCAGTGCCTCAATTAAAATTTCTTAAGGTCTGAAAATTTTTAGGTAAGTATTTAAAATATTACTGTCATTTTTGTGCGTAAACAAAAAAATTCTAAAACTAATAAGCTTCAGTGAAGATATACTTTAAAGTTTGCAAATTAAGTTTAAAGTTGTTTAGAGCTGTTTAGAGCTCTGCAATTGTGTGTATAAACAAAAACAATTCTCAAACTAACAAAGCTTCATCGAAGGTAATTTCAAGTTTGCAGTTCAAAAAAACGATACTTGTAAAATTTCAATCTGCTTTGTTTGGGGCAGTAGTGAGGCATGAATGAGCGATTGTCGATTTTTCATCATTTGAAGCTACAGCGAGGAATCGATTATTAAGGTATTCGCTGCGAACACCTTGGTTATCGACCCTTTTTCATAGGTTTAAATGACAGATCAATCGGTATATCGCAAGGCACACTACGATAATGATTTTGGAGCAAGAATTTTTGAATGCCTTAGGTACCTAATATCACCACCTCCTCCTCTAGCACAATAATGCGCCAAAAACTTTATTGGGGGAATCTTGGCTGAAGATTAAAAATTGTAGATCCGGCAAGGCATTAGCACTCATCTTATGCTGTCTGTATCCAAACTATTGAAAAAAAGAAAAAAAAGCGGTTTTTATTGAAATTTTCTTTGAATTTTCTTCAATCATTAAAGAGTCACCTGGGCTCCGTAAAGGAGGTAGAAATTTGTCGATTTAATATTAATCCATCGACACAGTATTTTCATCAAAACTAATAACACTGAATTTTTCACACAAATCCACAAAAATCGCTCCCTAGAAATCGAAATCCCTCTTTCCCACGGAGGTCATACATTTTATAAACCCCTCTCTAAACACGCGAAGTTAACGCTTTCTGATGTACAGATCTGTAAAAAACAGTAGAAATTTACGCTTTCTGATGAACAGATCCGTAAAAAACAGTAACGAGCTCCGTTACCGACTTACTGACGTCGATGATGTCTGCCTCTGAGAGGTGGAGGTGGGTCGTGGCAATCCACCATAAATATGCACGCAAAATCAGTTATATTCGCACATGAAACTCGTTGATCCGCGGATCAGCTTAGCTCCATGATTGCCGGATTGCGGGTGGGAAAATCTAAGCTTAACTAGCTTAAAAGCCTAAAATCACGATTTTTCTCGGCTATCCGTCCTCGATGTTGCTCGGGACAAATGCGTGGGCGCCATGTCTGGCCGCGGAGGCGCTGATGGGGACGCTCAGTGCTGCCAAGAAGAAATGTCATATGACCGTTCGAATATTGCCAAATTCCTCTTCTTAAAATATTTATTCTTGAGAAAAGTTAAGAATAGTAGTCCTTGAAGTTTTGTAGGACGTTAGATAGGATTGTGATTGAAATTCTCTCCGAAATTCAGGAGAAAGATATGCACGACTTATTCAGAAATTCGTATCTCATCAGAAGATATTTGGAAACACTCGAAAGCTCTTACAGCGTTTCTTCGTAGCGAAGCAGTGCTGCTGTCGCGTCTATAGGTCTGGCCAAGTAACTTTGGGTCATAAATTACAAGCTACAATGATAGAGCGATCGATAGCGAACATACAGGGTGTTTCATATAAGGCTGATATAGTTTGTAAACCGCAAGGTTTTTTTTAGAGGGGAATTAGGGGTTTGTGATTTATGACTCGGCATATAGATTTTATGTGATCGTCCACGGGTAGGCCTAGAAAAAATCACAAAAAACGCGTTAAAATAATTTAAGAATAAAATACTCGTACATTTGCGCATTTAAAGCGAGACGTTTTGCAGTTTCAGCGAGTGAAAAATAACTGTTTAGTCTTTTTGATTTACCGTATGTACCGAGATGATAGATTTTTAGTTTTTGCTGTTATTTGGCTCTATTTTCTTTTTTTTTCTAGTCGACATTTCGAAACGACCTTGTATTCTGAACAACAGGACAGTATTTTTGATACCCATTTTTTGTTTATTTTGTTTTTTATACCTCGTTTCATATTTCAGACTGTTGCTTGGTATTCATGATGTAATACACTGGGAATGAAGATCAAAGTTTCTGAAATATTTTATTTAGGAGCGCGATTTTTATCAGGTTAATTTCTCTTATATTCTCTGTGTATCGACGGAATAAGTCGAAAAATGCGCACCTCAAGTGCAGCGTCTAAAAATCTCTGAAGACCATTCAGGCAATTTCTTGAAAATCTAGGTACTAATTGGTTTTACTTCCAAAAAATAATGAGTGAGTGGAGACTTGCAACTTTGTGATCGGGGTTACGCAGTTTTTTTCTTTACTCAGCGAAATTCTATGACCACGGGATTTTTATTTCAAAGAATTTAAGGATATTTTTTTTTTTTTTTTTTTTTTTTTTATGCGTTTTTGAAATATTAGGAGAAAAGAATGGCATATTCAACCTCTATTTGAAACGTTTTCTTTTTCAAATCTCTTCTTTTTGAACGTATTCCCTCATCATGATTACATTCTATGAACACACAGAAAAAAATAGATGGTGCTGACGACAGAACCTTCTGTTAACAGGGCTCCTGCAGTTTCTTCGCTATACTCACAGAATTTTTCTGTTGCGAGATCAGAACTTAGGTCGTGGGAACAGAACACTCTGTCCTCATAACGGAAGCTTCTGTGACTGTTACGAAAGAAGTGCAGGAGCCCTGTGAACAGAACTATTTTTTTCAGTGTATAACAACACCCTGTACGTATTCGTAGACGCCTAGATCGAGGTCAAACACCAATGAAGGGATAACAAAGCAACTATCGATAAATCGCGTGGCATGAGCCGACCATAAATTCGTTATAAACACGAGACATTTTTAAAACTGATAGGCTTTGGCGGGGAGAGGAGGAACAACGACCGTGTGAGATGATGGAGCTTCATGAGAAACTGGACGTAAATCACAGACTTACGGTGGCGGAAACACCATGCGCACGATTTCTTCACTCCAGATCCCTCTTATAAACGAAAGATATTCCTCCTTCCGCTCTGTTAGGTATCAAGAAACTTTTTTTAGGGTGGGAATCAGCACATTAACTTAAAATTGGACGTATTGCTATCAAACGGATCTATGTGCATCAAGACATGAGCCCTGAGACCCATAAAAATATATGCACCACAGGGCTCACGTCAAAAAGCACATAGTTCCGTTTGACAGAAACACGTCCAATTGAGGAAAAGAGGATCGAAATGTTATTTCTTTGAACTTAATGCGACCGGCTTCGAATGACTCTAAAGCACGTGGGTAAAGCTTCCAGTGGAAAAACGTCCGTCGGAGTTGGGTCGAAAAATCGGATTTCGAGATTTCGACGGTAATCCTTTAGTGTCCCAGAGAAGAAGTCCCGGGGGCTTTAGCTCATTTTTGTGCCAATGAATAGCGTAAAGTTAACTCGGTAGTTAGGCAATTTTGTGCTCTGAGAACATGTAATATCAAATTTTAAGTGCCCCCCCCCCCCCNCGGCACTTCGTTTTTTCAACCTGCGAACCTTACTTGAAAAAATGAAAGAAAATGTTTGTGGGACACTTTTTTATCTTCTGGTATCGATAATTCAGTTTTTAGCTCTCTTGAGCTAAGGCCCTCTGGTGCACTCCGGTCACATATTTGAAAAATAAAACCAATCTCTTGTTCTAACTAAATATTTCCCAATCAATTTGGAATTACTAAAATGAGAAAATATATGTATCTACGGATAGTTGATCTCGCAACTACATACGCAACGCAACTTGGTAAGAGCACGTAAAGCTGTGAGTCAAAATAAATGTATCGTTGGGAGGATAGACTCTGGTGCCCGAAAGTTGTAATATTACTTTAAATTGATGCACGTTTCAAAGTTTAATAGAATGAGATAATGGTTTTGTCAATAGAATTTTCATAATGACAATGGAAAAGAGAATAGAATAATGTAAAATACACAATATCATCTCTCGAATAAAATTGTATTTTTTGCTGTATTATATTCTTTATTTATGTCCATTTTTCAACTGATGATCGCCATCGATTGACGCAATAATTTTCTTTTTGGTTCAAAGATGAAAAATGTACAGTTTGTAATCAGCCTGATACCTACGAGAACATACTGGATCACTTTTGTCGCTCGGACTTCGGTAAGTTTTTGAGAACTAATTCTGATTCATTCATGGAGAAAATATACACTATCTATGCTTAAATATAGATCATTAATTTGACTACTTATGAGTTGAGTTTGGGTATTTATGGTGCTCCCGCAACGTGTTCTACGCAAAAATTTGATGAGGAAATATGTATTGTGTGGATAAATTTCCTACCCAATACAACGTTCTGTTACAGGTGATGACGAGCCTACGCTCTCCTGACCCATAACATACAGTGGCGAGGCGTGAATGATCGATTAACGATATTTGCCCAATTGAAACCATGGTGAAAGATCGATTATCAAGGTGTTCGTTACGTTCACTTTGTTTATCGATCCTTTTCCATAAGATTGGATGGCAAATCAATCGATATATCGAAAAGCACGCCATGCCACTGATGTCATACCCTGACGCATACAAGTATACATCTTTGAGGATGCGACCATTTTGACGCGTAGGAGCTGTTAGTGCCTATCCGTCAAGATGAAGGCGCACAATGCGCCGAGTTTTTCAGTGAAGCATCGACTATCGCAGTTTGCCTTCATCTGAACGAATAGGCAAAATCAGACCCTACGAGTCGGTATAGTCGAATCCTTGGAGATTGATTTACGTGTGTGGCATGCATGTTCATCATTACTAGCGTAATATCATAAAGGTAAAGGGATCATATTTTGAGGGACTCAGGAATCGATGGTAACAGGTAAACGTGAACAGATCAACATCGATATGGTCGAGAAATAATGGAGAGACAGGTCCATTTTTATTTTTTGATTAGGTAAAATGTGTCGATCGGGGCAATCCTGGTCTATTTCCTCAGTAAATTCCAGGAAATTAATCAAGTAATGAAGGGATTAATTTTTAAAATATTAGTTAAGACAGAAACCCGTAACTTTAGTCGCACGAGCGTTTCTCTCGTCAGTTATACTCAGTTTCCCAGAGCTCTGTGTGAATTTTATGGTTTTGCAAAAATTTATTTGCTTGCACGAGTTGCAACTCTGGAAAGCCAGCTTTAGTGAGTACGATGCAACAATTTTTTATTGTAAATGATAATACGTTCGGCGAGTATAGCACCATTTAACGTTGGTAACCTGTATCACTAATTTTTGCAGCGGTACGGGTGAAAATTCAAAAAGTGCGGAAAGCGAGGCTAATCGGTCGAAAAGCAAAGATACTAAAGGGCGGAGAAAAGTTCTTGAAGCAACTGAAGCGGCCAGTCATGACTCTTGAGCCAATGCAGTCGTGCTGCCAGAAGATGACGTCATCCAGTACGGACAATTTCCTCGTCATGGGATCCGTGAGAGAGGCCAAAGTGACTCCTAATTTTATCATGCCGTGGGCCACCAAACGATCTAAGGTAAATATCTGTCACAGGCAAGTAGCAATCGCCGCCGGCAATACATTGGCGGAACCAGCAGATTGGCAGCATTCTCTTTTCTCCCTTTAACCCAATGGAAATGTATCGATTTTGGAAGATCCAGGTGCTCCGATAAGAATCGATTATTCAGTACAGGTTTAAATGGAGGCAATTCGGTGCTGCCAAATGGAGATGTTGCATGTGTGAGGAATTTGCGATTTGACTAATGATTCTTATGTAAAAGTTGGCGAGAAACCCGATGGTGCCACTGGTTTTCTCTGAAATCAACTCCCAAGCTCAAAAAAAGCTCTCAAGTTGAGGCCAAAATGGAGGGGATATCCCACGCTATCCTGAGAGTCCATCTCTACATCAAGACAAACTTTCCCTGCTCCCTATCTTTGCATGGAGAGTTTGTCTTGATGTAGAGGTGGACTCTCAGGATAATGTGAGATATCCCCTCCATTTTGGCCTAAGCTTGAGAGCTTTTTTTGGGATTGGGAGTTGATTTCAGAGAAAACTAGTGGCACCATCGGGTTTCTTGCGAACTTTTACAAATCAACAGTCAAATCGCAAATTCCTCACACATGCAACATCTCCATTGCTGGATCCGCCTCTGCGACAATATCACCCTGGTAAAAATTGGCAGTAGAATCTGTGTTCCAAAATACCATAGACCTACAGCCGGCTGTAAGATTTCCAATAGCTTCTATAGCCGGCAACACAATTTCTTATAGCCATTCATAGCCGATGGCGATTAAGCAACAGCCCGGCGATAAAGTGTATGCTAAACGTTACTAATTACGGATGCTAGGACTTAGTGAGTTATTGGACTCCCGCTCTCTTATTGGGCCGCAGTACCTTGATTTAATTTGCGAGGAAAGCTCCGTACTTTTGAAGGATGCCTCTCATTCCGTAATATGTTGGAGCGCCTTCAATTTCATATGATACTGTGCAATACCTCTGGTGTGAAATAGTTGCTTCAAGCGCCGCGGTACGCTGCGGCGCGGCGCGGCGGGCGGGCAGCCAGCGCTGAACGCGCACTAGCGCCTACAAACCTAACAGGGATACTTCACGCATTGCGCAATGCGTGAAGTATCCCTGTTAGGTTTGTAGGCGCTAGTGCGCCGCCGCTCCGCTTTGTGTTAGGCTCTAATATTTAATCTCGCGGAGTCAGCGTTTTTCAACTCATGGCTTTGAAATGTTTGCACACTCTGTATGGATTATTCTCATTTTAATTGATGAAAAAAAATATGTAGTAAAGGAAAATATAATGTGCGTTTTGTAAATATTAAGGTGATTCCGTACAAACTTAAGGATTTACAAAGCACAATAATTTCTACACAATTTCTTATAGCCTTTTACAGCCGATGGCGAAAAAGCAACAGCCAGGAGATAAAGTGTAAAGCCCGGCGATAGGAACTGTAGCCCGGCTGTGCAATTTTGTATCGCTTCGTGTAGCCCGGCCGTATGATTTTTTCCACTTTCTACAGCCAGCTATATGATTTTCTATCGCCCTCTTCAGTCGGCTCTAAGAACTTCTATGGTATTTTGAAACGCAGCTCCTATCGCCAATTTTTACCAGGGCAAAGCGGCATACACGTTGTTTTTGAAAAATCGCAATAACGCCCATCGGCATAATTAAGATTTGATGGGTCATTATGATTTTCGATAGCACGATATTTGCTTGGAGCGTCTTCATGTTTTATGATACTTTTTACTTGGTCTAAGATTTATTTCAGACATTTTATCAAGAAAACTTTAATGATCGATCAAAAAAAATTGTAAATTCAAATATATACGCTATCGAAAAACGTTTTTTTATATGAAAAAGCGGCTTAATTGGATTCTTTCAAAGTAAATATGCTCAAAGATTATCGGTTTCAATGCATTTATATTTGGTTTTATGCATTTTATATTGATTTACAGAGGTACCAGTGCTTGATTTCGTGATTGTAGTGAAATCTTGTTTTGTCCCGTAAAGGGTTTTGCATTTTCGATTTAAATTGGAATAAGTATTTTTCTAGGCTGAATTTAATTAATTTTTTTTTCAAGTGTTATCATTTTTTTTTCGCATTCCAGTCATTCAAAAATGCTGTCCGGATGTTCAAAAAACTAAACTGCAGTGATTCAAAACTGCCTCAATCGCTCATCAACGCTGCCCTGACATCTAGTGATCCATTTTACTTGCCGACCTCAACATCGCCCCAGCCTACATCTCCATCAACTACAACTACAACTAGTAAAACTCCGAAAACGAGACAAAACAGGAAAAAAACATCAAATTTTGTCCTTGGTTAAAATTAAAACAAAATGAAATAATACAAAAATTTAAAAATACAATGTTACGATGACTTATTTAAAATACTTCTACAATGTGTGTACAGGGAAACTACAAGTCAGAGTTTTATTCACTATTTACGGACAATATGTCTAGAAACATTTCCATAGAAAACATGAGATTAATTAATTATCATCATAAAGTTTAAATCGGCATAAGTGGAGGACCTATCGATTTTTTTTTTTGGAATCTCACATCGCAGCATCAGGTGTAAATTTTCTCAAAGCGTAGTTTTCATGAGCCAAAATTGATGGCACATTAAAATTATCACTATAATTTCTGAAATATTTTGACTACACGCACACAATTGTTTTTCAGGTGTGATAAATATTTACCCATAAATACATTATACATATTTATCAACAAAAATGAGAGCGATTTCAGTGGCGAAAATTAGGTGTCTCCGAAACAAAATGATCAGGAATGAGATCATAAGGTAAATACGATGAAATCGTAAAATAAGGAACAAAAAAACTTAAATCAAACATCCATTTCCAGGATAGATGATTTTTGAGCTTTCAACTTTACAGAATTTCAATAAATCCATTTCATTACGACGAACCAAAGCACAAAAACACAATACTCCAATCTGTTTTTGCCGTTAGAAGTACTTAATCAGCCAAACCTCAGCTTCAAAAGTCATACCGATGCACTCAAACGTGGAGTCTGCAAAACTTTCAGGAGAGAAAAAAAAAACCAAGGAAGGAATTTCTCAGAGGTGCATGGTTCTCGAGTTAAACGCTCCACCTAACAAGTGGGCTTCGATCAAAGAGCAACTTTCCAGGATTAAAGCTTCTACAGATTTACGTTTTCATCTTTCGAGTTTTTCTCGTTCATCAAACATGTAAATGTCTATCCGTTTAACGTGAATGGGTGATGTATTACGAAGAGCTACTCGTCTTTTCCAAACAGCAACCTATCTTATCTATTTGGATGTAAGACTTGCTTTATTGACATTATTTGCTCATCAATCTTGTACTCGATTCAAAACGGAATCATGCGTCGATATGAAAACATCAACAAGCATAAGGTAAAGAAACTTCACAATGATCGCGACAATTTATCTTCATTCTGACGGGAAACAGATAGGAAGCTCAACTCATGCCGCGCTCGGTGCTTATTCATTTTTTGCCGCCGGCGTAAAAATCGCCTTCAGAATTGGCACTATGCAACCCCACGACGACCGTGTTTGAATAGTTATCGCGCCGCATGTCAAGGGGTCTTAAAGAAAAATACTATTCATTTGATTAAGGTAGGGTAACCTTTTCCTAGAATATTAGATCTGCCGTGTTAAAGAAGAACATTCGAGAGTTGCCAAATTTATTTCGATAAGACGTTCATTTTTTAGGAAAGTTATGAATATTTTGCGGTTTTTGGGTTTTGTGGCGATTAGGCGTCGCACAGCGCCAAAGAGCGCTATAAAAGCGACTCATGTATGTATGAATATTTTTCCGAGAAATTTTCAAGAACTTTAGGTAAAATTGCGAAGAAAATTACCTGAAAAATTGGAGAAAAAATAGTTACAAATTTACCCGAAAATTTGTCATTTTCCAACGGAAATTTGGCAACGCCTGAAGGCTCATGCGGCGTTCTTCCTTAGCACGGCAGAGATGTGGTTGCTTCCAGGGAAGTTGCACGGTACAACTGCCTTTTTTAGGGTTTACTTTTCTCTCTTACTCTATTGAGCAATAATTTGGAATTATAACGCTGGGAGTCGAAATATTAATTGAGAGGTATCGTAGGTGTAAGGTTGTACAAAACATTGTACAGTTCTTTTTACCTTCAATTTAATAAATTAATTGAGTTAAAACTGCTTGCTCAAAACGCGTCTACTGAGGATAAGTCGTGAAAGTCAGCTCACAAGTAAGTTTTTAAAAGTTTTTGACCTTTTAAATTGAAATGTAATACTTGTGTGGAAAATTCGCTCCCAATTAAAATAGCATCGGGAGTACCTGTTGGCGTTGCCAGTTGACTGTTTAGAAATTTTGAAGGAAAAAACGATAAACATTACTGATACCTAATTACCACACAAAATCGTATCAGTCAAGTAACCGACAGCACCAATTTATCTGTCGGTTCCACGTGATCGACAGCACCTTTCGTGACCAACAAGTCTTGATGGTAATTTCTCTTATTTTTTGCTTTGTTCTACGCAAGGTCTGAAATGTAAACGATTATCAGCGATAATCATTTTCTCTTCAACTTAATTGGTCCCACATGCTTTGAAAAAACTAAACTAGGGACACCATAATTTCTGGTATCTTTAAATTACCCGTAAGAGACCCTGTAGGCTGTTTGTTAAAATTGATAGACAAAGCTATAGACAAAGAAGACAAAAGTGATAAGGAGGGATCCTATTGGTGAAAGCGGTTGGTTGCAATGGACAAAGAAGGTAGATAATGGACTAACTAACGTTGACCCACGAGAGACCCGATAGTTAGTCCGTCATTTACCCCCTTAGTCTATAAGACCACCCATTTTAACCAATAGGATCGCTCCATATTCCCTATGTCTTCTATGTCAATCGCTTTGTCTATCAATTTCAACAACCAACCTGCGGGGTGATTGTTGAAATTGATAGACAAAGCGATAGACAAAGAAAACAAAAGGAGTATGGAGCGATCCTATTGGTTGAAGTTGGTGGTTCTAATAGACTAAGGTAGTAAATGATGGACTAACTATCGGGTCTCTCGTGGGTTGCCGTTAGTTAGTCTATTACTTAAATCCTTTGTTCATTGCAACCTCCCGTTTCCACCTATAGGATTGCTCAATTTCCCATTTGACGATCGCTTTGTCTATCAATTTCAATAATCGGCTTGCTGCTGTTGTCAGTTATCTCACTTCCCTTTCCCTCTGCCACCAGCAAAATACTGTTCAATCTCATCGAGCGTTTTTCGATGCGTCTCGATCAGAATCGTCACCGAAAAAACACCGAACAACAAAGACCCCGCCGCGAACAGCAGTATCGTGCCCTCCAGGCGCAGATTATCCATGAGGATGTTGTACATCTTCACCGCCACGAACATGATCACATACATGGAGCAGAAACTCACCCCACACATCATCCCACGAACTTTAATAGGATACACCTCGTACGGGATCGTCCACGGTAGAGGGAATATCCCCATCGACATGAAGAACACGTAGGCCAGGAAGAGCATAATCGGGATCCACTGGTTCTCCGCCAGGGGCGCCACCGTCGCACTGAACTTCCAGTGCGCGTACGTAGCCAAGAGGCAGGTCGCGGCTCCGAACCCGGAGACAGCGCCTATAGTTTTCCGTCCGAAGTACCTGAACAAAACGGCAGATAGCGCTATGGCCATCAGTCTAAACACCCCTATGGCGACTGTAACTTGGAGTGGGTCGAACGTGGAGTGGAACTCCCTCATGAATTGCACCGTGTACGCGATTATGATATAGAAACCCGCTAGGTTCTGTAAGACGGACAGTGCGAGAATGATCAAGAACGGCTTCCAAACGATCGGCTCCACGAATACCTTCAGAGTGAAATCGCATTTGGGCTGGCTGGAGGCGGTCTCTTGGAGCTGTTTCAACGTGGCTTCGACGTTGGCGGGATTTTCGATGCGGTAGAGGCTCTTACGGGCGGTTTCTAGACGATCGTGTCGGACTAGCCAGACCGGGGAGTCGTAGAGGAAGAGGGTGAGGAGGAGGCCGAGGATGGCCAGGAGACAGGAAGCGGTGGCGGCTATGGGCCATGGGTAATAGCCGCCTAGGATGTAGATGTAGACGAGACCTGCCGATGCCATCAGGCCGTTGAGTGCCAGGAGTATGCTGCGGTGGGCCACTGGGGCTATCTCTGAGACGTACAGCAGGGCTGGGAAATAGCAACCTGGAACAGAGTAATGAGAAACGAAAAGTGAGATTAAACTCAGGGGCCTAATTTTGTTAGAGAGAACAGACGTACTTTAAAGGCCTGGACACACGCTCTTTCCGTCAATTTCCGATCAAAATGATGACAAAAATGACGGTCGAGAGTTATCTAGATTGATGGGTAAAATTAATTAAAACAGCGTGTTGATTGAAACGAGCACGAAATAAGCACGGTTGTGTGGAAATCAGATGACGGACGAGACCTACAGTTCCTACCATCAAATTTTTGCAGGCCACAAAAAATTGATGGTAGATGGTGCGCATCAGTCACTATTTGATCGGAAATTGATGGTTTGAGCGTGTATCCAGGCCATAAGATACCTTAAGACCGTGCTTGAGTCCGGTGTAGGGTCTTTGATTGGACAGTTTCAGCTCATCGACGGATGTTGCAAATTGGCGGGAAATCATCAACGAAATTCAGCCTCACGATATGGATCCAGCCGTCCTTTTTATGACCACTAATCGTGTATTGATGTGAGCGGTTATCTGATCTGGACCGCGTTTAGCAGAAAGGAACCAAGCCACATCAGCTATTGCCACATTTAACCGGGCAATTTAATTTTTTAATAATAATGGTTGTATGGGTTTTTGTACAAATTTCAGTGAATTTTCTCCATTTAGTACGAAGCAAGTTCATCAAAATTTTCCAAAAATCCGCACAAACGTTCTCTTATAAAAAATTCAATTGCCCAATTAAATGTGGCAGTAGCTGATGTGGCTTGCTTCCTTTCTGCTTAACGCGGGCCAATTGTACTGATTTTTAAATAAAAACGTTCATATCTTAGCTAGAAGTTGATTTCAGTAGTTTTTGTAGCACGAATCGTGTTCTACGTTAAATTTTGATGACGAATCATGTATCAGAGTGCTCAAATTTGTACCTTGTTGAATGGTTCATTCAATCTAAAAAGCGAGCATACAGATTTTTCCCAACTTTCCTCAAACAAAATATTTTATCGGGAGAAACGAGACAACGCTGGAATGCTCATAAGGCGTCGAAACACAAAATCGGCTTTTTAAGCCAATGTCGAGTCGCGCTTATTCAGCCGCAATTATCCTAACGCGAGTTTGAATAATCGCGCCAAACATGGTGCGGTCGGCGCAAACTCATATCGGCGCCTGCAAGACTGCATGAATACTTCATGCATTGCGCCAGACAGTGCGGTCGGAGTCAGGCGCGTATTAGCGCCTACGAGACTGCGTGGATACTTCTTGCATTGCACCAAACCTGCTAGCTGGATTGAGGGCACATCGCACTGTGGAGGCGACTCGACACTCGACCGCGCTGCGCGCGCTCCCTTCTTTAGCTTGCGCGACGCTAAAATTTCCGCAAAACTAGGACCACGTGTTATTTATTTGACGGTCCGGTTGGCGGCCGCAGGCCCCTAGTTCACTGAATAATTGCCTCAATAAGTTGGCAATAGTTTACTCAAAATACTAATGACCAGTAAAATGAGTTCCGTGTATCAAAAAAACAGGCAGTTTACAATCCAAAGATAAATTACAATTTTTCTCCAATTTTTTGCAATAAGAAAAACTCCTTCAATCATTATGGATGCAACAACGCACTCTAATGCAGTTGCAATCATCTCACCGTGTAATCGCAATTGATTGCATAGCCTTTTCTATTGGAGTTGGAACTTATTTCTCTAGTTCCTTTCAATTTGTACGGCTTTGTGAGATTTATCTTCTCACGAGATGTGTTTTCGTGCAATCCATCCGAGACGATGATCTTTAAAGGTTACCCTTCACAACATTAATTTACAATCGTAAACAAGGAAACAAGGAAAAGTTGACATTTTTACACATGTTTCTTAGTCGGACGCCATTGTGAGCTTACCTATTCCAAGTCCTCCCATAAATCGACCCAGAGCAAGCATTGTAAAATTGTTCGCTGTCGCCATGACAGCGAATCCCATGCCGATGAAAAAATAAGCCACTTGAGTTACACGTATACGGCCATGGGTATCCGACAAGGACCCGCTGACAGTCGCTGCTACGCATGTTCCAATCGTCGGTAAACTTGCTGCAGTAAAGAAAACAAAATTAATTATTCAAACTTGAAATAAAAACTTCATTACAGCAGAGAAGAATAAAGAAAATTGATCTTTGCAGGGCAGAGACAAATAGAGACCGAGCACGCCCTATTCCGCCAATGTATTTTGAGTGAGGCACATCTAATTCTCGCGGATTCAACAAAACANTTGTCACCTCACTGTACGCCTATCGACTTATACATAGTTTGTACCCACGATACCTGTAGTTGTCTTTTCGTTCATTCATCATACCCATATTCGGTACCACCACGGTACACCTACGTACACTGGCCCAGCACCAGAACATTACAACAGACAGGCTTTTTCTTTCTTTCTTCTTTTTTTCTTATGAAAAACGCATGTTCGTACGGAAGTTCGTGCATTCTTAGGTATCGATAAAATATTTTACATGAATGGAGTTTTTGCTTGCAGCGGGAATTTTTCCTTTTACCGTTTTCTTCATGAGTAATTGTTTCAGAGAGATAATGTTACCATTATTTTCCTTTGGCATCAACCTTTGAGCTCAAAAAATCCATCAAAGTTGAGACCATGATGGCGGAGAAACCCAATTCTGTAACGTAGTCTACCATTTTTCAATCAAATGCAGGATAATGACGCAAAGATAAAGAGGAATAAATTATCATGATTGTCATACAGGTTAAAAATTACCATTTTGAAACTTGGAAATCGTCACATAGAGTGGTGATCTAGGTAATATTTTTTACTTTATCTCTGCCCGGAAAGACTGAGTATGAACCTTAGCAAGACTCTCTTTCATTGCAAGTAAGTTCCTCAATTGCAACCTCAGCTTAAGGAGCTTTTTGGAGCTCGAGAGTCGACTCCAAGAAAATATAGGTGGCATCATCGCGTCTCCGGCGAAAACTCCCGTAGTTTTAGGGGGTCAAATAAAAAAGTCCTTTTGCAATCCTGCATTCAAGAGCTGAATTCGTGGCAAAAGCACCCAACAAAAAATCGCATAAATCATACTCAAAATTGGAGTTTTCCGTAGGTTGGGATTTTTTACGGCAAGCCTGGCCCGACCGTAAATCAATTAACAAAAGGTAAACATAATTGCAACTCTCCGCAAATGAAAGTTTGCTGCCAGGAAAGTTTGGGCCGAGACATACACCAATACGGCCACAGCCATATTTTAAGCCAACTTCAGCGGTTGCAGCTGCACCCCACGTTGTCAAATCATTTGTTTAATGTCTATCATATAATTTATTCTATTATCTCTATCTTTTGGTCCAGCGAGAGAGACAAAATTTATGCGATCTCTATAAAATAGGTAAAACATTAAAAAGTCTCAAAAAACTTGTTTTTATAGTAGACTAAGGAGGTCTTGACAAAATTCCTGAAAATAGTGAGAGCTCAAATTTGGAAAAAAAAGAAGAAAACATTTTAAATCTAATTCTCAATAAAATTTAAAACTCTCCGTTACTCGTTACAGATTGCAAACTCAGCCCTTGATATAATTTTATGAAGTTCCATGACATTTATACTCAAAAGAAAGTTTTATGAAATTCCAATCTATGAGTGAAATTAGGTTTGCACCTTTGGGATTGCCCTTGCAATGTGCTGAGCAAAATTTGCAGGAATTATATGTACTAGTCTACTTTAAACAAGAGATGATTTAAAATTTCCGTTCGTTTTCTCCTCGCAGCAGTTAACTAAGATCCTTCACTTGGCATTAATAAGGTAGAGGCTAGACAGCCGACGAGATTCACTTATCTACGTGCATTTTGCAACGCCTGATATGTGATGGTTGGGAAATTGTATCGTAATTCGAGTCATGCTTTCCGTTATACTATTTTTCGTCTTAATTTCAAAATTTAAGGGTGTTCCATGAAAGATTTTTCTCTCACCAATCCAAGTTGCCTCTTCTCTGTCAATGCGTATCCAACTGTCTCCTTCGAGCAGCTGCGGGAGCATTCCTGCGGATTGGCCAAATATTGCCCCCACCAATATTTGGAGCGGAAACAAACATGCCACTGCTACAAACTGTCCAAATTAGAAAGGAGGTAGTAAGAGCGAGAAAGAAAAATAAAGAAAGATCAATTACTTTGTATCTCTGAAGCTAATTGTCAATTTTATGAACATCTAGAGTCGAGTCAACGCTAGCCATTAATTGGACGTATTTATGCTAAAAGGAACTATGTCTCATCCTGTGTACATACTTCCTTTTGGCATAAATACGTCCAATTTAGTGCGTGTTTAATTATGGGGAATGTTTTTACAAGAGCATTTAAAAGTTCAGCTTTTTAAGATCGCAGTTTGGTGTATTTTTTTTAAAATATATTAAATTATAAATCGAAAATTTAGTTGTTTTTTCAAAATTTTCCCTGAAAACCTCTTAAGTTTAAACATAAATTGAGAAACACTTAATCTTTATTGGAAAGGTTCATCATCTTTTCTGTTGCTTTTATTTCCTTTCCTTTATGGGAAAAAAAATAAATGTATCTAAAGGTTCACATTTTCTCAGGACATTCTGTGCATGATCAGGGAATATCAATACACATTTTAATGAGTAATCCTCTTAAGTTTCCCTTCAAAAAAGATGAAATGTAACAAGGAAACTGCGACATCGCAAACCGAAATAGGTGTTTTCCTATTTTCACCATCGATACCGTTTTTCAAGTTAGCTCCGCGGAACTATTTTTATGCACTCAAGGCTCATAAAAAAAAAAAAAAAAAAAAAAAAAAAAAAAAAAAAAAAAACACAAGAAAAACGCAGTAGTGTTCCTTCAAGAAAACTCATTAACACTAACCGGTTTGCAGCATCCTGTTGGAGGGAGTTGTGTTTCCATGAGTGCCTGAAACTTCCTCCTCCGGGCACCTCCAACGACCACTTCGCACAGCTCGTCCGGCAAAAAAGAAAGCGAAAATTGCCTCCCACGAAGATTTATTCGCGGTTATCGAAGATCAAGAAGCAAGAGCACTCTTATTTTCAGCCTCTCAAAAGCGTTGATAAAAATCAGAGGTATGCAGTCATGAATATGCGTTTTTGCAATAAGAGGAAATACTTTTCCCCCATCATCTCTTTCCTTACTGGTGAGCCCTGTTTTTGCACAATCCAAGGGGTCGCCGCGATCACTGTCATCCTGACTTTTATTTATGTTCAACCGAGTGCAACGAACAGGAATAATACTAAATTTTCGGGTCTTCAACATGGGCAGCTAAAGTTGTTGAACGATAAGTAGATAGGAGGTACTTGACTTTGAAGCTCCGTTGTTATCCATGTTCATTAAGCGTACCTTTAATGAGCGGCTAAGCTCAACAGATGGTGTCATTAAGTGTTATTTAGCAGTTTTCATTATTTCCAGGAGAAAGAAGCATGTAGGTAACAGTTTTGTGTTCCTAAGTCTCACATTATTTGTTCCCAATTAAGGTATTGGCTAGCATCCTGGAGCATTCGTCTTCCGATCCAAATACGAACTTTTTGACTTTCGGGAGAATGCTTCGACCCGTGAATTCCCCCTTTTTTCCCTCTCTTCTTCTTTCGTGACGCCCCCCAAAGGCTGGCGCCCGTGTGCGCCGCACGCCCTGCACACGCCCTAAGTACAGGCCCAGACCTAGGGCGTGTGCAGGGTGTGCGGCGCACACGACGCCAGCCTATGGGGGGCGCCACGTAAGAAGAGAGGGAAAAAAAGGGGGGGAAAGGAAAAGGAAAAAAAGGGAAGAAAGGACAAGGGGAAAAAAGTAAAGAAGGTTGGGCAGTGAAAGCAAGGAAGAAGGGGGTAATGGAAGGAAAAAGGAGGCAAGAAAAGTGAAAAGAAAGTCCGAGTGAAAGGGGGGGGGCATAAAAACCATAGACAAAATATAAAGAGAATTGCCGTCTAAAGGTAAATTTTCAGGACAAAAACTCCACCTGGTCCATAGACGGTCAGGCGCCCCTTGACCCTAAATTTGCGGCTGTACAGAAATACAAGAGTAGGCATGTAGTAAGGGGGCGCCATAAATCCATCGTACAGGAGCCGACATAACATTTTAGGCCACGTCCGCCATGTTGGATTTGAGAATTTTCAAAAATCGACTAAAAATTCGAGTTTCTCGTCGAAAGTACCCCTGATCCCGCAGTTCACAAAGCTCTAACGAACAGAAACGGAGGCCAGAACCGGGGCTCATTTTAGGCCACATCCAACATTTTGGAGTTGAGAATTTAAAAAAATTGACTAAAAATTCTAGTTTTCTGTTGAAAAATACCGTGTGATACCGCGTTTCACAAGACTCGAACAAACAGAAACCGAGATAGCATTTTAGCCCACGTCCGCCATCTTGAATTTGAGAATATCAAAAAATGGACTAAAAATTCGAGTTTCCCGTCGAAAAATACCTCCTGACACCGAATTTCAGGAAAATCCATCGAACAGGGGCCGAGATAGCATTTTAAGCCATTTCGGATTTTCGAATTTTGAATTTTTTGAATTTTGACAGATTTTGATTTAAAACGCGTGATCCCCAAAATCGAAGCTCAGATTCGGATTCCTCGTAAAAAATCGATGCGATTTCATGTATCATACCCTGACACCGAATTTCAGGAGAATCCATCAAACAGGAGCCGAGATGGCATTTTAAGCCACTTTAGTCATTTCGGATTTTTGAATTTTGACAGATTTTGATTTAAAACGCGTGATACCCAAAACCGAAGTTCAGATTCGGATTTCTCGTAAAAAATCGATGCAATTTCATGTATCACACCCTGACACAGAATTTCAGGAAAATCTATCGAACAGGAGCCGAGATGGCATTTTAAGCCACGTCAGTCATTTCAGATTTTCGAATTTGGAAAATTTGACTTAAAACGCGAGATACCCAAAATCGAAGTTCAGATTCAGATTCCTCGTTAAAATTGATACAAATTCATGTATCATACCCGAGCATAGCGTGGAGGAAAGGGACGCAACATAGCATACTGATTCGAGCATATGAATCCAACCTGGCAACATGGGTAGTGCTCAGTGGGTCAGCGGAGGAGGAAGAACAAGAATTTATCGTGAGGAATTCCTCTGGACGAAACCGAACGCGAGTTGGCGCCAGCGGCGGCGTAGTTCAAAGGGGCAGTATGACAGAATCTATACGCGTCGTTAAACCTTTTTCCTTCACGTTATTCTAGCATATGATACATGAAATCTCATTAATTTTTCACGAGGAATCCGAATCTGAGCTTAGATTTTGGATATTACGCGTTTTAATCTATTTAACATCGTAAGAGAATTTACAGAATTGTCCTTGAAAATTGATCACACATTAGTGTTTTTTTACGTCATTAAACCTCTTTCCTTCACGCTATTCTAAAATTTGATGCATGAAATCGCATCAGTTTTTCACGAGGAATCCGAATCTGAGCTTAGATTTTGAATATTACGCGTTTTAATCTATTTAAAATCGTGGGAGAAATTACAGAATTGTCCTTGAAAATTGATCACACATTAGTGCTTTTTTACCCCGTTTTTCTTTTACGTTCACGTAATGAAATTAGATCAACAGTTGACTCATCGACTAGTCTAGCCTAACCCCTCAGAATCGGTCTAAAGGGCGAACGATTTCATCAGATAAGATGTGCGGTCCTAGTTTAAAGGCTTTCTTCCCGAAAAGTTAGTGATCGGGCCAACTTACATGATCACTGGAGCATTGTATAGCAGGTTGTGGGAAACTATTTTTTTGCAGCAACAACCAATTGGATCGCATTTTGCAAAAAGGAACTAAGAGCATTTCAATGTTGCTGGGATTGTGCAACTTAGGTACATTCTTTGCAAAAAGTAAACTTTGCGACGGTAATTTTCGTCTTGAATTCATAGTTTATTGGGAGTAGAGGTGAAACTAGTTTAGATGATCATTTATGTTTGCAAGGTTAGCGACATTGGAATGCTCTTAGACGATAGGAGGAGTAAAGAGTGTAGGTTGCGAAGTAAAAAAAAAGCAAAAAAAACCTATGATTGCATTCTTGTAGCAATTTCACTGCGAAAATTCTCTTTCAGTAATGATGAAAGGGCATATTTCGATCTTTTTTTAGATGAAAAATATTTTAGATGACTTCAAATACAAAACATTTTATAAACTGAATTTAAAACAGTTTTAAAAGAAAAAATAATTTTTTTTGTAAAAAAAGAAATTAAAAAAAAAACACTACAATTTACAACCTTGTTTTGACAAGGAAGCAAGCAGACGACACTGCTCTCAGTCAAGATAGTACCAGCGTTGTTGCCATCTTTCTTTGAACACGTTTCATTTCGAACTACCAACTCATTGTCTTATCAGTTAAGACTTGAAATTTGTATCCAGTGCTCTCGAAAACTCACGCCGTGTGAGGCAATTAGCATAAAAAAACAATCGATAGCTTTTGACTTAAGCCACAGCTTGTCGTTGCATCAAAACATTTGAGCTTTCACATTAAGTCCCTGTTTATCTGGCTGCATCAAATACACTAGAACATTGCAATGAGTTACTCAATCGCGGGACATGTATCATTGACGGTTTTCAATATAGAGGGAACTGGGAATAGGTATATGAGTCCACAAAACGGAACAGAAAAAAAAGTGACATCCATTATTTTAAATCTCGTACTTTTAGTAAAACTACTTACCATCCCCCTTTTCTGAAAATAGTATACTTTGAAAATATAATTCAGTCTCAAAGTCTTACAAATGACAAACGTGCCAATTACGTTGTATTCTTTTCCTCTTCCTTCTTATTAAGCATTGTCATAGGTGGTTACCCCAGAGAGAGGCGGTAAGCATTTGTGTGAATGGGTTATATTCGCCTTAGTGTGAGAGTGTATGCGAGGTGCCCCTAGCGTAAATATTACCTTGCGGTGAGCTAACCATCACCTTACGGCAAGGTATCGGCCTATCCATCCTCTCCGAGCCCTATCCGAGCCCTCGCCAAGCCAGTTCAAGGAACTCGACGACCGGGATTAAAACCGTATGACAACACTGTAGACCCAAATCCAGACGCAGGACTTGAAAAAGGCGACATTGCATCGGGAAATACCCCGTGTTGGGTACGATTTTCGTCTCCAGCGTTGTCATGCATAATTATTCCCAGTCGTTAAGTTCCACGAACTGACCCGGCGAGGGCTCGGATAGGGCTCGGTGAGGGTGGATAGGCCGATACCTTGCCGCAAGGTGATGGTTAGCTCACCGCAAGGTAATATTTACGCTAGGGGCGCGCCCAAAACTAAGATCCCTTCCCCTGAGCGTTACGTGTTTGATGAACGGTCCCCTAGGCCCCCTGCCTCTGCAACGCGTCTAGGTATGTCGCTGTTTACGTGCAAATAAATGACCAACATCTATGATGCACACGTAGCCAATAGCCATGCTTAAATTAGCTGCGAAGGACATTTTTGGAGATATTTTTTTTTCGACCTGTTACACGTGCTCTTGAGGAGGGATCACGTAAGGAACGAAAGAATGCGTGAGATCATAAACGCCGAGCAGAATATCGTGCATGAAATTATGATCAAACAACTTGTCTGGTATGGTCATGTTCAACGAATGGCGGATGACAGATTACCTAAGAAAGTACTGGATTGGGTTCCTCCTGGGAGAAGACACAGGGGACGTCCAGCAAAATCGTGGATAGGTGGGATTCAAGATGAAATTAAAAGATGCAATTTTCCAGATGACCTCTGGGTCGATAGACAAGAGTGGCGATTAGAGGTCGCAGAGCGCCCGGGCGCGCTGTGCGACTCGAGTCTCGTAAGCGACTTGAATATATGGATCGCATTTTGCAAAAAGGAACCACTAGCATTGCAATGATGCTAAGATTGAGCAACTTCATCCTTCGCAATAAAATTGCGGAAATCGTGAAAAACTATGAAATCTAGATGGTAATTTCTGTCTTAAATTCCCAGTTTTTAGCGAGTAAAATAGAAATTATTAATGGATAATCGGATTTTTCCTCCAAGACAAAAGAAGTCGCACAATCTTAGCAACGTTGCAATGCTAGTGGTTCCTTTTTGCAAAATGCAATCCATATATATGTACACGTGCTCTTCAGTTTTCTCTGTATTCCCTCATTTTTTCACTCCGAACCACTCGCAAGGTTGCCAGGTCGCGCGCGATAAAATGCGAATGTTTAACATTGCTCAGCACTATTCGGCAAACGGTTAGGTAACCCTCCCACTAGCAAACGTGCATTCGATGTCGTCAAGAGTCCTGCGATGCGTCTCGACGAGCAGCGTCATGGAAAAGATACCAAACAACGCCGACCCCGCCGCGAACAACAGAATCGTCCCGCCCAGGCGCAAATTATCGATGAGGACGTAGTACAACATCACCGCCACGAACGTGTTCAAATACAGCGCGCACAGACAAGCACCACACATCATCCCGCGGACTTTGATGGGGAACAACTCGAACGGTAATATCCAGGGCAGCGGGTATATCCCCAGAGACGAGGTGAAGATGAACGCCAAGAAAAGCACAATCGGGATCCACTGGTTCTCCGACAGTAGCTGCACTCGAGGCGCGAAGATCAGATACCCGTAGACGCCCAGCAAGAAGATCGCCGCTCCGAACCCAGAGACGGCCCCGATCGTCTTCCGACCGAAGTGCTGGAACAGGACGAAAGAAACCAGGATGGCGAGAAGTCTCATCACGCCGATTGCCACAGTCACGTGGAGCGGGTCATAGGCGGAGTGGAACTCCCACATGAACTGCACTGTATACGCGATGATTATACAAAAACCAGAGGTATTCTGGAGTATCGACAGAACGAGGATCATAACGAACGGTTTCCAGACGCTCGGCTCGGTTAGTATTTTCAAAGTGAAATCAGTTTTGGGGTGATTTTCCGCGGTCTCTTGGAGCTTCCTCAGTTTGGTCTCCACGTTGGAAGAGATTTCGACGAGGCGAAGGCTCTTGGCGGCGGTTTTTAGGCGGTTTTGCCGCACCAGCCACACCGGGGAGTCGTAGAGGGAGAAGGTGAGTGTGAGTCCGATGATGGAGATGAGACAGGTGGCGGCCGCGGCGATGTACCAGGGGTAGTAGCCGCCGACGATGTAGACGTAGACGAGTCCGCAAGAGCATAGCACTGAGTTCAGGGTCAGCAAAGCGCCGCGGTATTTCGGGGGTGTCACCTCGGAAAGGTACACGTTCCCCGAGAAATAACAGCCTGTAACATCGAGAATGAAACAGTGACAGATTCTCTAAAGGCTCTCAGATTTTAGTGGATCCTAATCCCAAGTAGCAGTGATCGCGATAAATAGCGATTTTATCGGTTGATTATCGCGATTAAATTGGTGGCAATTTATTGCAATATTATCGAATAAAAAATTGCGATTTATGGCGATTAAATCGCTTTGCATCGAAATTTTTTATTCAATAAAATTGCGATCAATTTTCGTCGATAAAATCGAGATTAAATCGCCATATATTGCGATTTTTACTTCAAAAATATTGCGATAAATTGCCGGGTGATAAAATCGCGATTTTATCGCGATGAGGTCGAAAATAATCGCTCAGATGTTGATGATCCTAGCGATTTTATCGCCGATAAAATCGCAACATATCGCGATGTTTCCGTTGAAAAATGCTACTTGGGATTAGGGTACCTGTATTGTATATACGAGAGAGTATTGCCATCTCTGTGCCGCTCTCTGATTGGTTCACCAGTTTTGGGCTAGCGTGGAGCTCCAAAGTTGGACCAATGTAAACAAAACCGACCCAGATGAACACGTATTACCAGCTGAGAAATGAATGATAATCACACTCGAAGCTTAATTTTCGGCAAAAATATTCATCACAATTCGATCCGAACGCCTTTCAGAAGTTGGATATAAAAACAATTCTATCACACCCAAAATCACGTCTAGAACTTTGTAGAACTTTTTCGCCATCTTGTTTGTTTACATTAGGCCAAACTAAGAGCGAAGGGAGCTGGGGTTTGTTCACATTGGTCCAACTTTGGGGCTCCATCATAGCTGACCAATCAGAGAGCGGCACTTTTTTTCTGTAGTAAAATGATTGAGATGGCAATACTCTCCCATATACTGGTACTTTAGTCCTAACCAGAGACAAAAGACCCTCCACTGGCCTCTCGGTGACAGGTGGATGCTTTTACTTTCGGGGATTCAACACTTCCTCATGGATAAGGGAGCAATGGTCATCACCCTTTTTCGATTGTTGACCTACCTACTTGGTGGATGATGAACTTCGGGTGAATCATGAGCCAAACAAGTTTCCCAAAATTCGGTTTGTTTGCAAAAAAAACCCGCAAAAACATTGCAAAAACATGTTGTCAACCCTCAACTAAGTAGGTAGGTCAACAGTTGAATGTTGAAGTCCCATAAGTAAAGGCTCCCCCCATTGCCAAGATACTAGTTGAGGGTTTCTTGTGTCTGGTCCTAACAGGTTTGTAACACGACTATCGAAAATTAGTAAAATATGGAGAGTAGCTCAGTTAAACTGAATAATTCGAGATCTTTATTTCACCATTTTTTAGCGGCCCTCTGGAACTGATCCTATACCCCAACCCAAGTAGCACAAATTGGAATGAATTGCAATTACATAATGAAAAATTTGCTACCGCATCAGAGAGCTGTGCACGTTGTCTATCCACTGATTAAACGCACACGGCTTACTTAAATTAATTGCAATAAAATTGAAATGAGTTGCAATTTTTCATTGCATTTCATATTGCCTATACTTTTCTAAAACATGAAGCTCTCTTTGTTGATTGTTTAAAACCAGTATTCATTGACCAAATTATGTAAAAATATTGCAATTGTATGGCAATTTTATTGCAATGAATAGCAACTATATTATCATTGCGATGTGCTACTTATTAATCTCATAATCTCTTATCTCTGACCAATTTGGTTCTATCTATCGAATCGCATAGCGATGCTGAAACTACCATTCCACGTATATTTGTATGCGACGTTACAGACTTCCTATCACATTTTACCTTTTAAATGGAAAACTGCTCCACGTCAATTCTTGAAAACTTCCATGATTATTCTTCTCTGTGCACAGAAAACCATGTAAAAGCTTCACGAAATGATATTGATTTGTTTTCCTTCAAAAAAATAAAATGGGAGCAGAGATTTTTAAACACAGCAAGCGTGATACATGGTCTAGTAGTTTCACCGCCAATAAGTGAAGACTTGATTGCGCTCTTTCCCTTCGGATCCTCAGCGTGCTTCCGGCGCACAGTTGATTGAGTCAATAGGAGAGGTCGGACAAAATTTGGAAACTTTAAAAGCACATGACTCCGTTCAAAAATCGAGGTCTTAAAAGTGGTTCCATTGTTTTGCTTGTAAAATTATCTTTTAAAAAAATCCCTTCAAATTAAAAACGTGACGAATTAAACTTCAAAATTTGCAGTTTTAGTTCAAATAGTTCATGTCTGGCCTCTCTAATTGACTCGATCCACTGTGCGGCGGCGTGATGCCAGCGCGAAACAGGCACTGACGCCTACAAACCTAAAGGGCTACTTCACGCATTGCGCAATGCTTGAAGTATCTTCTTGGGTTTGTAGGCGTCGGTGGGCGTATCGAGCTAACAGCACGCCGCCGGCGCCGCGGGTACAGCGGTAGGTACCTGACGAGTCAAAACGCCTTCACCTCCGTCCGTGGGCAACCAGGACATCCACGTAGTTCGAATAGTTGCATCTAGGCGTTTCAATGAATTTGATTATTGCGGCAATGGACTACTAGACAAGGTACGAATTTCAGCATTCTGATACATGTTTCTTCACCAAAATTTCACGTAAAACACGATGCGCACAACGAAAATTACCGAAATCGACTCCTTCCGAAGATATTTGATGATTCTTGGTGCGTGAATTGAAACCACCCGCTCATGAAAACTCAATGCTCTACTTGATTCACATCGCGCGCTAAACGTTATCATGAACGTCTCTGCGATAAAAAATCTGGCAACCTCAATCTTGACGCTTTGGCTCAGCTATAGCAAATTACTTATAGTTTGAAAAACACATGGTGGGAAATGAACATTGCTCGATTGAGAAGCTTGCTGAAACCGTTGTAGTGCACAGTTAAAAAAAAATGGACTTGTGTATTATTGTGTAGTTGTTTTTAGAAATTTCAGTGTACTTCTTCTGAAAATCTTGGAGTAAAAATACTCGAGGTGGAGAAAAAGTGCACAATCTCGATGAATAAACACAAATAACAAAAAAATGCTTACAAAAATTACTCAAGGGCTCTTCTGACTGAGTGAAATCGTAGAACCTTGTGTTTTCAAAATAAAAACACAACACTTGCAACATATTCTGAGCTCTTAAGAAAAGATGCACAATAATATCACGACTCTGTGTTTCTTTTCATTAACGAGAGAGAATGTTTTTACGGTCCTAAGAAAATATTCTTACGTCGGTGTTGTTTTGCACACTCGTAGACTAAAACATCATGGTGCAAAGAGAAATAAAACGCAGGCAATCTCGAGAAAAAAACTCAAAACGGTTGGGCACCAGAACCTCTGTGTGTTAAAATAAATTAACCAATTGGGAGAAAAAATACTCTACTAGTATGATTAAGTTCTGAAATGATGTAAAGAAA